ATTATCTAAAATAAGGAACATCAGTTCATGAATACAATTTCCTTTCATATACACACGGTAATTTATCATTATAAGTACAATTTTTTGGCTTCTCAAGTTATTAAATTGATTGTTCGCATTCCGATTACATTGGGTGACAAGAAGGATAACTCCTTCTAAAACGTTATAAAGTATAATTTCCGTTGATTTACTTGAAATTTACATTCAAGTTAAAGAAACACATAAAATTACTTGATAAACTTTCACTACATGTCAAAATGCATGTTTCAACAAGACTACTCAGTATATGTCTGGATCAGAGTAGAATGCACTCTTATAGGGCGCAATTTTTTAAGTTTAGGGACGAGGCAATCACCAGGGTTGGACCGGTGCAATGTATGATGGGACAGGTACTTTTGGGGGCATTCATTAGGGTGGGACAAGCAATTTTCGTACAACAATAATGTAGATAGGGCATTCATATTTCTCCTCTATGAAACTGTAACAAAAATTATCAATTAAAATAAATTACTCGTATAGAACATCAAACAATACACAAATAAATTAATACTAAATTGTATACATTTCATCGAAAAAAAAGTCAATTAAGAGAACTCACCAATATCGGTTGACTGACCTTAACATGATGAAGAAGGATTAATGTGAAAATTCATGTCTACTTAAAATCTCAGACACTCAATTTTTTCTAAATCAGTAGTATGTAGAATCTTTGGTTATTCCTAAATTTAGATACATGTAAACATTAAATTAGATTTCAAGGTTTGTACCAAAGTGCTCTCGTATCTATTATCTTCCTGCAACTGAAAATGATATCTGGCTCATTTTCTTCATTAAATCTCATAATACATTTTCAAGTTGCTTGTGATCAAAAATTACATATAAAGATCCCAAACATTCAGTTCTGACAAAGAAAATACCAACCTTTATTCAATTTAATGGAGGCTGTAGCTACATGTATAGTCATTCTCCCATCTCTCTAGATGGCGGATGCTTAAAGAGAAAGGTTTTGACATGTATATATGGGACATTGATTTGACTTTTCCCACAAAGAATGAGGACTGGACATGTATTTTTTTTAATATTCTGAGTGGTATGGGACCAAGAATTTTTATCACAATTTTTTTTTCGCCGGTGTCATCCTGTTGATAAATATTATGCGTTCTTTTAATCACACGACAGATATAATTAATAACAGTGCGACATTTAACTCCGGACACGACATTGTCTAGACTTTTTACTACCATTTCTAATTGAGATGTTCAAAAAATAAATTGTTTATCTTGCTTAATTTGCTCAACAGTGTTTATTAAATGTTAAATTAAATATGATTAATGCATATCTTTACAAATTACAGATTTATTCCCCTTTGTAAAGTAGCTCTCTAGTATAATTTCTAGCATCTAAAAATAGGTACAAACATCCATGGAAGAAAAGGCAAACTTGTAAACTTTAATCCTAAATATTGGACAAATTGAGAAAATAATGGCAGCATTAGTTGGTAAGCTATGTTTACATTGATTTCAAATATCAAAATAAATGTGCATGGTAGTGATTGCGTTCGAGGTTCAATGGAATAAGCATGAAAGTTGTTACCGCTCTGTGTCAAAGCATGAGAGTCTCTAAAATTTCGGGAGATATACTGAACAGGCTTTTCTAGTGTGTAGTGTTATAAAACTTGATATCTGAATAATTGCAAGCATTTTCAGACTTTCATCCTATTTTATCACTATAGACCAGAGCAGAATTTAATGATAAACAGTAAACACGTTGACATTTGAGAATACTTGTAAAAGGGGGGGGGGGGGGTAGGTGGTAGTGGTACATTTTATGCATGTTTTAAAACGAAAACATAGTTTGATTCTCCTATGAGTTCATCTGAAAGGAGGTTTTTTATATATATGAAAAATAAACTGTGCATAAACATTGCACACAATGTAATACAATCTGTCAGAGTAGGCTTGGTTGGTCAGTCAAGAGACAAATATTATTTAGCATTTATTTCTCTGGTCAGTCAAGCAGTATTGTATTCTAGAATTTCTACTCATTAGTGTATTGAGTGATATGAAACACAATGCATATGGTGAAACAATTTTCAATGAAAGATATATAAACACTATTTAATATATTCCAAGATATTCTTCTTCATATTAGAATGACATTTTTTCCCAAGACCAGCCGCTTTTCCTTAGATTTTTTTAAAATTGTATACTTGATTATGTGTAATATGGAAAAAAAAAGAATAGCCATCAATTTTTCTATTTGAATTATGTTCCGGTGTATGTATACACATGTAACAGGAAATGAGGAAAATGTGACAGACCAGACCAGGATTCAAACCTAAGGCCCCTGAATCACTAGTCAGGTGCTCTACCAACTGAGCTATTTGGCCAACAGTGATCCAACCTGCCTGATCACTACATTACTCTCTCCTTAAGGTCAAGATCTAGTAAATGACTTCAGACTAACTTTTTGGTGCTAAATCCATTATGACGTCATAATCAATTTTAACTTTCTTTTTCCCGTACTTTACGGCTCTAGTAGAATTTTGTAGAAAATAAAGTACTTTCATAGAATTCAATTTGAAATCATGTGAAAAGTAATCCCGATACCTATATTCAATTTAATATTAATTTAAAGAAGAGGCCAAGAACATACAAATTACCGTTTTCTGAGAGACTGTAGGCAATCTGGATGCATTTCTTTGTCTGATATGGAAAAAAACTCCCGTATTCATGACTAGTTTTCTTAATTTTCCATTGAAAATGACAGTTTAAAATATGGTTTTTCGTCTTGTTCATCTACACATTATGCCCCGAAACACCTTATCTGACCAAGCTAAAGTTATAAAGCAGCATTAAAGGAATTTATTTCTCAAATTTGAGAAATCTGTAGGCACCTTTCATCTACTAGATCTTGACCTTAATGGTCTTTAAATAGAGAATATTATGTACTAAAATCCACATCATATGTCATATCAGCCTGAGTGGCCCCATATCAGCCCTTTAAAATCTAATAGATTCAATTTTTGGTCATTTGAAAAATAATCAAGTCAGTGAGTTATATTACATGTATATTTTTAAAAATAAAATAGAGTAAATTAATTAACCTTAAAAAGTTATTAAAACGTTACTTGTGGATTTATATTGAATTTTGCATGCTGGTCTGATATGTGATATGGGTTTACAGACCGGTCATTGATATGGGGTATTGTGACGTTATATCCATATTGCAAAGTGCGGAATCGGTGTATTTACTACTAAGTATATGATAAAAGTCTTTATTATATATTTGTTTAATAATACAGGATTTTTGCATCCCTGATATGAACACAGGCACGCGCCCTGTATTACACACCCTGTATCAGCACCCTTTATTTTACCCTTTATCACACCTTTCCGGAACATCTCTGCTGTATTTTTCATTCGGAGTACCTCGGATCTTTTTCTATTAATTGTTTATAAAGTTTATTTAAATTGTAAATTTTCATCAGATATTTTATGCTATTCAAAATAATTATTTGTTTAATTTATAATTATTTCATTTCTTATTGCTGTATGCATTGCCTTTGGAAAAAATAATGAGAAAGGAAATTCAACGAAAAAAAAGAACATATTCAATTATTAAGAATTAATTAATTTACAGGTTTATATATGATTTTTTTGACACTATTTTCAAATATATAATAAAAACAACAATACATTACAAAATCTGTATCACACCCAATATCAACCCTCGACCAATATCAGCCCTCTGGCCTTCGGCCCTCGGGCTGATATTGGAGTCTCGGGTTTGATATGGGGTGTGATACAGATTTTGCCATGTATTATTCTCTATTTATTTTGAAAGAATATACATGGTAGTGAATAACCAATTTTCATAAGAATCACAATACTAGTGTATGTAGTATGTCACGACTATAGTGAATAGTCCGATTGGACAAGTAAGTTATTTTTGTACCATTATGGAATATTGTAAATGTGATTGAAAAGAAATCCCAAAGAATCCTTTTCACACTGTCATATTTTAAAATATGCAAACATCAAATACGCAACACTACAATCTTGAAGGTTTAGTCACACATCACTTGATATCAACAGATATACAAGCACAACCAAGACTATAAGGTTACAGTTATTTTCATGATTAAACAATTTTTTATAAGTCAAAATATAATTATACTACTTCATTCTTGAAAATGAAGTTCTAAAAATTTTTTTTATATCTCTTCAGGATGGGACAAGTAAAATGAATTCAGACAAGTAACAATTACTGACAACTTGTCTGATGGACAAGTGAAAATTTTTGTTAATATTGAGCCAGCTGACATTGATAGCAAGTGACTATTATTTTAATAACTTGTTTAAGTTTCCTTACTTGTGAATCTTCCAAGAGGTACAGTGTTTGCCCATCCTATCAGAAGTTGTGTATACCTTTTCAAGATAATAGTTATTTCAGTTCTTTGCTGTGTAATTTGTTGTAAATGTTTATAAAATGTCTGACATTTTTAGTTTTGCAATCTCTATTCTTCACCTCCCATCTTAGTCAGATAGTATGTAAATCCATATTTGCAAAATTGAACCTCAGTATCACAGTACTGTTAAATATTTTTTTATTTTTTAGCTGTTGAATAATTGTCATTTTCAAAGTCTCAATGCAGTTATTAAAAGATAGGAATTCCATTTGCAATGGAGATGTCATTTCTTACAGTAAAATGTATTGGGGTGGCTGAATACAAGTACGGTTGAACTTCGATATCTTGAACACTGATATCTTGAATACCATGGATATGTCAAAGTGATTTGGAAGTCCCAACCACTTATTCTTTAAGTATTTTACCCCTGATATCTCAAATCCTAGGATATCTCAAAGTTTTTCCTTGGTCCCATCGAGTTTGAGATAACAAGGTTTGACTGTACATGTGGCAAGTTGCTTTTTTCAATTTCTGAAATTGATTTTTTAGGTGGTAGTGTCCCACAACAACCTTTCTACAATGGAGTTGATGAAGAAATTTTGACTAGCATCAAAGAACTTATAATGCATAGAACAGGTACTTATTGGGCATAAATATTAAAAAAATCATTAGGAATGTTCATCTTTTTAAGAGACCAGGTAATTATTATTGAATGAATTAAAATCTATTTGTGAATTTTGAATTGGTACATATTCTTAATGTTGAATCAGAGGGATTTAATGTTTGCCTTTTTTGACAGCAGACCAAAAGTAACCTGCAGACCATATTGAGACCAACTAATATTTTTTAAACTAAATGTATGGTGTTGGAGAGTCATTTAGATATTTCCAACATAAAGAAGGTGAATGGTATCGATATGAAGAAATTGTCAATGTGACAGCAAATGGGTTTTCTTTATATGAACAAAACTGGTATTTCTCTAGAAAATTATAATCGCATTTGTTATGAATTTTACACTTTTCATACCAATGACCTTGAACTTGCTGAAATGATCTGGTCAAGGTCTTGAGTCAACCTTAGGTCATTAACAGTCTTTGTACCAAGTATGAGTTTCCAAAGATGACCAGAATGGCCTTGGGTCAAAGTCATGACACACTAACAGGTGATAAGCAATCTCTTTAACAAGTATGAACTTTCACAAAGTTATAGCCCAGAGAAGTTTGCAGGGACAGATGGATGAAAGATGATTCCTATATACTCCCTAAACTTGTTTGAAGGGGGGGGGGGGTATTAAAAGTTCCTGTCTTGAAAACTGTAGAAGATATCCAGACAAATGGGGTGCCCTATATGGAATATTTGGCAAAAAAATGACTAAGTTCAAAAGCTGGTATTTTTCTCAAAAATTAACAAAAAAAAATCTAAGTACATGTAATATGCATATCTTTGATATATATACAATTGATCTGCAAAATAAAAAAAGTTCCTATCTTGAAAACTTTAGGAGGAATTATATGGACAAATACCCATTTGGCAGCAGCCCACCTACCCGGCCACCTGCCTGCCATTTTCACCATTTCAATAACCAGATTTTTCCTTCAGAAAATCCAGTTAAAAACGCACAGTTGTTATATATAATGTTACTGTTGTAACAGGAAAGGAGAAAATGTATGGCTGGACTGGGAATCACCTGTGAGCCCTGCATGTCTAGTCAGGTGCTCTACCAACTGAGCTATCCAGGCCAATATCCATGGCCCAAACCATTACACCATGATACATGTACATGTACTGACTGAAAAAAATGAACTGATTGTTAAATTTTTATGCATCTTATTTTCAGGGTGTCCTCCAGTGAATGCAGACCATTTGTACACATTCAAACAACACATGGACAATTTTCCACACCCCTGTCCAACTGTAGCAAACAGTATTGCAGGAGGGACATTCCCTACCCCCAGTCCACCCCAGCCGATCTCACAAAATCTTCACGGTTTGTTTCCATTGTTAAAAATACTGAGCATTTTGCTCTGTATTCAAAGAACTTTGTTAAAGTTGACCTAATTGTTCATACTTCTGCATAGCTAATTTTTTGCATTGTGAATGGACAGAAAAGAAAAAAAAATCAATTACGTTTAGGGAAATGTGGATTTTGAATGTTGGCTCAAATGAAAAGCAAAAATACCTGATTCTTGCCATTTGCATACTGTGATACATGCATTTTATTGTAAATGGAGAGAGAAAATTAGTATATTGTAACAGAGCCTAACTATTAAATAGAAAAAAAAACTTTGCTTATTGTTACTTCATTTTATTAAATGATGTTCATTAAATATGCCAAACCGTTGAAAACTAATGTATATTTCTGTGGAGTAAACACGATTATGATGTATGATTTTGTAGTCAATCTGTTGTTATAGGTTGGGCAGATGTTAATCCACAGAATCAAGCATCCGTCCAAGCCATCTTTAACCACTTCTCTCAGGAAGATCAACAACACGCATACAACCATTTCTTCCAAAAACTACGTAAGTTACATGCATTAATATGTCAATCAAACTAAGCACAAACCATCTGTCTTTAAAGGAAATTCATATATTTTTTTTTTCAAATTAAAGGAACAATTCAGCAATAAAGAAAAATGGGAGGGGTTATTTAAAATCATTGTCAAAAAATAAAAACACAGGACTGGCCAGAAAAGTTAAAGCAAAAAAGACAGCTTCCTTAAGAGATGAACATTAAATTTTCAAATAATGACTCCCAGGGACAGGATTAGGCCATGACAATAGGGGTGAAAAGATAAATACTTGTAGAATGATGTTGGAAGGTTTTTATTTAAAACAAACAAATATACAAAAAGACCCTTCCCAAAGAAACAAAGAACCCCTCCCCCCCCAAAAAAAAAAATAAACAAATCATCCACAAAAAAAACTCTGCATGCAAAATTGAAACTGGATAAACTATAAGAAATGTAAAGAAATCAGTTTTATAAATTCCAGTCTATGTATACAACTTAAACTTCACAGAAATAATGCAATATGATATTTTTTATAAACCATATACTGGTATTCGTTTACAGTTTTATAGGATCTTTATCCAAACTGTTGGAACTCTGATTCTGACTTGCTTTTACTGAAAAATAAAACTAATTATGATCTTATTCTTTAAACATGCAATCAATGATCCATATATTAAGATAAATTTTGAAACATCTGTTAAGTACCAGCATTGATTCTCAAAACTGTGTCATTTAAAGCATACTGAATCCATAATATATCAACATTTAACCCATCAATGGCAGCATTATGACTATAATCTGAGAATCTTATGGAAATAGTAAAAAATAATTGCCTTAATTTTCAAATGTGGTATGCAGTTCAATCAGATTTACATAATTGTAAACAGTTATATTAAGCAGATCAATAATTTTGCTTGAATCGGAATATTTTGGTTTTTGCTTTCTTTCTGTAGATCGTGCTCCAAAAGTTCTGGAGTTTTCCCGGTTCCTGTTGATATATGAAGGTAATGACCTGACGGACACCTCTCACAAGACATTAGGTACTTCATAGTGAGGTTCAGAGGGTCTATAGAGTAAAACGGGATGACTCTGTAGTGGTCTATTAGATCTGTAATGGAGAAATTTCAAACCAATATTGATTTACTGCCAAGATTTCCTCTGACAAAATAAGCATTGATTATAAAGGCATTTCCCTGAAATTGAATATTTAGAGCATTGACAGAGTGACCCCATTTTATTCTTTTATTTAAAAAAATATGATATAATTTTTCTAAATGTCACCACTTAATTTTTATGAGTCAGTTAAGTTTTGGTAACCTCAGTGGTAAAACTATTAGATAAGAACTTAAGTTTAAATGTGTTCTCTATGTTACATATTCTTGTGATGCATTAAATAAAATATTGTTCAGAAATTATACAAAATTTTAAATTTAATGGTTTTTTAGGGCAGCTATACTTAGAAAATGAAGAGTTTAGGGAAACTCTGAACCGCCATCTTCGAAGCATTGGACTCCTTGAACAAATGCTGAGCTCAAAGGATGTCATGATTCAAGTATTGGGGCAGTCCAGTACAGCAAATATAAGGAAGATTAATGATCTACAAACACAGAAGCTCAATCTTCAGAGAATCCTATGTAAAGTCCAACAGGACAAGGCCCAGCTTCAGCTAGACCACAATTCCCTGCAGCAGGAACATACTCAGTGTCTGACTGAGCTGGAGGATGAGAGGAAAGATAAGCAGGTGTCCCAACACAGGTGTCAACAGTTACAGACAGACAATCAGGCACTCCAGAATGAAATTACCAGACAAACAGAAACCATTACAGACATGCAGGTTACAATTCATGAACATGAACAAAACACAGACAGACTGACAGACATGGTCAGGGATCTTAAACAGAAATGTCACAGGGAATGTAGGGAAAAAACAGATATTTATAACCAATTGATGCAGAAATCTGAGATGATCTCTGAATTAGAGGATGATAGGGCACTATATATGATGGAAAATGAGGCACAAGGGAAGTACTTCTTAGACATGAAGGAAGAAAGGATGAAACTTCAGAGGGAAAATAAAGAATTGAAAGAATCTGTTGATATGTGCAAAAACATTATTAAAGCACAGTATGACAAGCTTATTTCAACAATTGAAATTAGTTTAAGCAGACTTGAGGAAAATTTAGCCTTGATGAAAGAAAAGAATTTTGAGTTGTCTAAAGCAGTCACTGATCTGGAGATTAAGACATCAAAACAATCTGCTACTATCTTTGACCTACAGAGTAAGACTACAAATCAATCCATTACAATCTCTGACCTGGAGACTAAGAACTCTGACCTGGAGACTAAGAACTCGGACCTAGAGACTAAGACTACAGAGCAATCCATTACAATCTCTGACCTGGAGACTAAGAACTCGGACCTGGAGACTAAGACTACAGAGCAATCCATTACAATCTCTGACCTGGAGACTAAGAACTCGGACCTGGAGACTAAGAACTCTGACCTGGAGACTAAGAACTCGGACCTAGAGACTAAGACTACAGAGCAATCCTTTACAATCTCGGGCCTGGAGAATAAGAACTCGGACCTGGAGACTAAGACTACAGAGCAATCCATTACAATCTCTGACCTGGAGACTAAGAACTCTGACCTGGAGACTAAGAACTCTGACCTGGAGACTAAGAACTCGGACCTGGAGACTAAGACTACAGAGCAATCCATTACAATCTCTGACCTAGAGACTAAGAACTCTGACCTGGAGACTAAGAACTCTGACCTGGAGACTAAGAACTCGGACCTAGAGACTAAGACTACAGAGCAATCCATTACAATCTCTGAACTGAAAATAAAGGCAACTAGACAATCAAATACTGTCTCAGATCTTGAGAACAGAACCACTGAGCTTCAGCTACAAACTCAAAGGCAGCAACTTATCATTCTCTTCTTGATAGCTCTCATCTTTACACTTATTTGTTTACAATTCACCTCACCAGGAAGTAATGCATTTTCTACATCATAGCATGGATACACACACATCACTATTCACCCTACTTTGTACATACTCTTCACTTTTCACTGAATTCATGAACTCTTCATTTTCTCATATACATTTACTCATAACATAGAAAACTATCACAAATTTCCTCATTATTTATAATGAGGTATCTAATCGCCATCTTACTTTATTTTTGTAAATATGAATAGTACCGGTATGTATGTGGTGAAGACTAACTTCAGTTCATATTGATTATAAGTGCTAATTGTATGTAACGTTTATGTCTTAGCAAGGTTGTTTTGTATCTTGGAAAACAAAAAAGCTGTATATAAAATAGAATGTTCTCACTTCAGATTTTATTATTAACCATGTTTTTGACACTTTATGTAACAAAATCAATGTTACTTCACATATTTAAAGTTTTGTTTTAGTATTAGAAATAAATTATTCCAAAAATTATGTTTAATGAGAATACACATGAAATTAAAATATTGAAGTAATGTGTCTGTAAAAATGGCAATCATATATCATCTATGGTCAGTATACATGTACTAAGCATTTTTTTTTTTTAGGTTTATGTAGTAGTGCTTGTATTTATTTTTTAATGCATTGATGTTTTGCCAGTAAGATTTCTTTCCTGTGTATATAATTATACATGTATTTAATTTTATTACAGAAATGATTTTAATTTGTGTTAGGTCTTTATATATTCCTATTGTTTTGGTGTTGCTTTGAATGAAATAGTTATCCTCTTGCCTATTCTTAGACTCATGAATTTTTTTTATTTTTTGTATTTTTTTTTTAATTTTTAAAATGTTTGGAACAATTATGAAAATTAAGATTTTTCTTCAGTGTTTTGAAATATTACATTTAAATCCATATAATATCAGTTTTGAAAATGTAACTCATTTTCTTTGATTTTATTATTACCTTTGAACATCTGTGTGTTATCAAGATCAAGCTACATGTGCAAATGTATTCTGATATTGTTATAATATGATTGCTTAATCTGCTTTTAACATTTCAATGTGATTTTCAAGTCTTACACAATATATCATAGACTTTTTTCTACCAAAGAATTGAAAATGTAGTAATTTTTAATTTCTGAACTTACATGCACAAAATTGTACTTCATGTATGAGTGATTAATTATCAAGTACGTGTATTTTTATTAGGAATAATGTTTGCTTAAAACCTATTACATAAAACCACAAATTGATTTCTCTATGAGTATTGTTATTTTACTTTACATGTACTTTTACTCAGTCAAAAATATTCAACAACATGTATAAATTTTATATCAATTGTAATTTTTTTTTACATAAAAATCCATTCAAAATAATAAATCTTCTGAATGTCCATTTTAATGTGTTCATATGCACACTTTTGTCTCATTTTTCATATCTCCTTTTCTGCCAGGGAAATAAAAATGTGTTCAGTAAATGAATCCTGATATTTTTCTAGAAAGGATTCTATCAGCAGCATCCATATGTAATCTTTTCATAGACATATACTTGTATTTTAAAATTATATAGTCACATAATTGATACAATTTCTTCATCTTTTAGACAATATTAAAATATGCATGTTTTTCTTTAATTTTACTATGGCCTTAGTCTTACTAACCCATGTGGAGATCTTCTGTCCATTTCCTTTTCAGTAAAGTAGACTGTTAAATATTTTATCAAAATGTTGAAGATTTTTAGGCTTTATAATGAATTTTATGCAGAAGGAATTAAGAGTTTATGTAACATACCGGTTATAAAAACAGAAGTTTTAGTCACAAACTAGGCTATTACGAACACCATAGTTGAAAACAATCTAATTTTAATTATTTATTTTTATACTTCTATTCTTTGGTGTGAGGTTTTTTTTGTTGAGATGCTATTTAAAGTGTATAAATGACAGACACACGTTTATCAAAAACGTAAATATGCTCTGATTTCTGCAATTATAGCATTGTATTTTATTAGTAAAAAATACATGTATATATTAAAACTGATTTAAAAGTTATGTCTTTGTTCACTTAGGACACCAAATTGTTGACTGATGCATGAAGATACATGTATATACTTAATAAATGGTATAACCCAGTTATGCAATATGTAAAACCTATACCTTTTAGTAAGTAGAGGATACCGTTACTATAGCACTATGATACTAAGAGGAACTAAATCTTAATACTGTATGCAGGGTTATTTTCGCCCTTTTGCACTTGCAAACAATTTTGCCCCGTTTTAAATTTGCCCAATCAGAGTTCTGTTTAAGAAATTATATTGTGTTCTTTGAAATCGCCCCGTTTTAAATTTGCCCACCTGTGATTAGGGTGAAATGGGCGAAAATAAAATGGGGGCGAAAATTTCCCTGTACACAGTATATGAAGAAAAATTCAACGAATAATGTAAAAAATGTACCATAAAAAGGGATTACTTACCGGGTACATCAGGTTCAGTTGTTAATGTGAATACTGATTTTTTTTTTTTTTAATCTGAAAATATTTTTAATATGAAACAAGATGTGTTTGTGAAACACTGATGCCCCCCTATGGCAGCTTATGGTGAAGGTTAAGATTTCTTAAATGCAAGTCAAACTCCAAGGTCAAGAGATCAATAATGATATACCCAAAGAAAGGACTTACAAGTGTCAATGGACATACCTGATAAATATGAAAGCCCAAGCACCAACCATTCAAAAGTTATGGTCAAGGTTAATGTTTTCTAAAAGGGGGTCAAACTCCAGGGTCAAGGACAAAGGGTAAAAATTAACGGCACGCAGGGGAGGACTATATGTCACAAGAAATACATTTGCAAAATATGAAAGCCCTAGCACCAATTGTTCAGAAGTTATGGATATTTTTTTTGCGTAAGTGTTTCTAACTCCAAGGCCAAGAGGTCAAATAGGTTGATACCAAAAAGGAGGAATACAATTGTGAAATAGCTCCAACCAATCAAAAGTTAAGAGAAATGTTAATTGGGAACAAGCAGACTGACGGACAGGGCAAAAACTATATAACCTCGAATCTTCGATTACAGGGACATAAAAAATATATATGTTTTCTCACAGAAGTTCGCATACCCATCAATTTACCGAAATTTTTAATAAACAAAAAAATGTAATACCTTTCATAATAACAGATATTTACGTATTTTTCATATTTAATGAAAATTTCCGTAGGTACGCGAACTCCTTGTGGCTCTCTGAAAATGATTTATACATCGTATAATCGGGATCGAGCTTCCATAATCAACGGAAGTGGTATTGTTTACACGAAACGTCAACGTGAGTGTCGTGAGAATAAGGATAGTGTTGACAGTTGTTAACGTTGGATCTTGGAAATGTTCAGCTTGGGTTATCAGCCGAAAAGGGGACATTATTCACAATAACAAGGTTATTATATATTTTGCTTTAGTGCATTAAAGGTGCTTGGACACAGATTTGAAGTTAATATTTTCTCAAATTTTCTGTAAAATTTCATGACTTATATGTTGCTATAGCATTTCATACTAAAATATAATAAAAATCTTATTTCATCTCGTAGTTATTGAAACTTCAAATTTCTGAACGCGTTTGATTGACACATCCTTGCACTTTCACAAATTTTAATTTTATTCTTAATACTTAAGAAAAGTGGCAATTTTGTTGTGTATTAATGAAAAATATTAGAAAATTCAGAGTAGAAATTTTCGAAAGCAAAACCCACTCACAGTATTGTCAGTCCGTGCTCAATGGTGTGTGCAGACTTTAACAATTGAACACACCCAGTGAATCGAAAACAATAACAATAACAGAGCTCGTGCCCTGTTTACAAAAACAGTTTACGTTTCACGGGTGTATTCAATTTGTTAAACTCTGTACACAACACTGAGCACGGGCTGACGATATTAGTGAGGGGGTTTGCTTTCGCACATTTCTACCCTGTATTTTCTGGATTATAGATGTAATGTTTTTCATTAATACACAACAAAATCGCTTCTTTTCTTAAATGTTAGGGATAAAGATAAAATTTGTGAAAGTGCAAGGATGTGTAAATCAAACGCGTCCAGGAATTCGTAATTCCAATAATTACCAGATAAAATAAGTTTTTAATTATATTTTCATGTGAAATGCTATTGCAATATATAAGTCACGATATTATACAGAAAATTTGAGAAAATATTAACTTCAAATCTGTGTCTAAGCACCTTTAAAGGAGAAATAGATATATATATCGTTATAATAATCTCCTTTGCAAAAATTGAAGAAAATGGCAATGGAATGTTTATGCATCTTGATCTTCTTTGCCCAGAGTTATACGGGAACCATTTTAGAAATGATATGGATTTACTGCTTGTGAAAATTATTCATTATTTGCTCCAATGTAGATGATATGACACCCCCCCCCCCAAAAAGGACATTTTTACTTGAATAAACTGATGATTAAAATCAAAATAGATTTATCCATGCTATCGGAGACAATTCATGTCTCTGGGTCTATTAATATTTATGATGTCCAAGTTATACTCTTTTGAATTTTAGACAAAAAAGGGACAACTCAGTTCTTTTGTTTTTATGCAGATGTCCTTAGAAATGGATGGTTTCCAACCAGGCTGTGATGTGGAGGCCATGTTAGAGCTTCAAATGTCTGAGGTTGAAATGCTGACTAGCATGTTTCCCAATAAATCTGAATTCTCACTGGATGATCCCACTGCTCCACAGAACATCAAATCATTTTTATCTGGGCAAATAAAGTATGAATACCTCCACCAAAGATTGGGATTCTCTCTTCGTGTCCATCCAGAGGGAACCCAGGTAAATACCTACATCTCAATAGTTTAAAGAAAATCAGTACTAAATCGATTTTATATTTGTCCTGGGGTCTTTGAAAAATGTTTGTCATTCTTTATATGATATTTATGGTTACCAATACTCCTTATAATTATCCCCCCTTCCTGGGATAGATTATTGTAAGGCATGTTGTTTCTTATTTGTCTTTTTGATGGCAAGCAGTATTTCTAGTACTGCCCACCCTAGTCCGAAATATTTTACGTTTTCCTGGCTTTTTTCACAATTTTGATATTTTACGTGCCAGGAAAACGTCAGAACTGGCGCCATTACGAAAACTGGGAATTTGCCGCCTCCAACTGCAGGCAGCATTCTCGGGCTGATTTTCAATACTTGAGAACCAAATTAAATTTCAATCTCACAACTTATCAATAGTACAATACTTTTAATACTCACCAACATTGTTTTAATGGCTTGTTTATAAAATATACAGTCCGATGAAACATTTTATCTGACTGTCGAGATTTGTTTTCAATTCGTACTTTTCAATATCTTGCTAGTCCTGTATCGAAATGTGGAGTGATATTTTCTTTTCATTGATATTGGTGAGTACTAGAGGCATTGTGCTATGGATAAATTGTGAGTTCGGCATTTAATTCGGTTTGTGAGTATCGAAAATCAACTCCTGTTGGAGACGGAGGGGTGGCCCCTCCCTACCCCCCAACCATGGGGATCAAAGAATGGGGGATCAAATTTTTAACAAGGGAATATATAGGAAAAAATCTTTAATAAAATCTTCTGCTCAAGTACAGCAAAGCCATTTGTTATATTGATATGGAAGCATCCTCAGGTAGTTTAAAATTCAAGTCCTTCCCCTCCCCCCTATTTAAACTTTTCAATACTGATCTGATTTTTGCTTTTTCCTAGCCGATATGCTCAGGTGATCAATGTGGCCCATAGGCCTCTCGTTTAAAACTTACAAACGTATGATATTGTACATACTGTTTTTTCCACCCATTTTCTCACTGCTTTTTATAACTTAATTACTGCTTGGACAAATGACACCATAAGTAGCATTAATGATATACAGTTGAACTTCGGTATCTCGAACAAGGATGTCTTGAATACCATGGATATGTCTAAGTGATTTTGAAGTCCCAAGTGCTTATTTCATAAGTATTTTACCCTGGATATCTTGAAGTATTTTCTTAGTCCCGTGAAGTTTGAGATAACAAGGTTTGACTGTATTTATGTGTGTGGGAATTATAGTGGTATGAAAAATATCAATTGGAAACTGAGAGAGTCAGTTCACATTTCTAGGTTTACCGCCTGCCCTGTTTGACAACTGATTTTAACCTTTGACATATCTTTCGAGATATCAATCCGAGATGAAAACATTGTACAGTAAAACACATTTATAACAAACATGCTTATGATGAATTGACGCTCATAGTGAAGTGATATTTCTTCCCAGTGACTTTAAAATATAATGTAAACTTAATGGATATAACAAATTACGCTTATAATGAAGCAAAATCATCCATCTCTGGCACGTCGTTGTAACCATGTTTTACGGTATTTAGTGTTAGACTTCATGCCAGAAGAAACTTGTTAAACTGAAAATATTACGAGAACTATTCCTCCCCCCCCCCCCCCCCCCCCCCCCCCCCCTCTAAAGAATTTTTTCTTGTTTGTTTAATGCTTATAAACATTTTTTAAAAACAAGAGGCCCATGGGCCACATCGCTCACCTGAGCACAGTGGATAGGCAAAAGCACAAATCAGTTCAGTATTGAAAAGATTCTGGGGGGGGGGGGGGGGGGGGGGCTTGAATTTTAAACTACCTGATGATGCTTCCATGTCAAAATAACAAATGGCTTTGTTGTACTTGAGAAGATTTTAAAAAAAAATTCTGATATATTCCTTTGTAAAAATTTGATCCCCCCTTGTGGCTCCTCCCTATCCCAGGGGTCATCATTTGAACAAACTGGAATCTACACTACCTGAGGATGCTTCCATATCAATATGACTAAACATAGCTTTTCTGTTCTTGAGAAGAAATATTTTTTCTATATGTTCTTATGTTACATTGGATCCTCCATTGTGGTCCCGTCCTACTCTCGGGGGTCATCATTTGAACAAACTTGAATCTACACTACCTGAAGATGCTTCCATATCAATATGACTAAACATAGCTTTTCTGTTCTTGAGAAGAAATATTTTTTCTATGTGTTCTTATGTAAAATTTTCTATCCCCCTATTGGGCCCCACCCTACCCTCGGGGGTCATCATTTGAACAAAATTGAATTTACACTACCTGATGATGCTTCCATATCAAAATGACTAATCATGGCTTTGCAGTTCTTCATCAGAAGAAATCTTCCTATATATTTCTATTTCAGGCTTTGATCCTCCATTGTGGCCCCACCCAACCCCAGGGGGGCAACATTTGAACAAACTTGAATCTACACTACCTGAGTATACTTCCACATAAATATGATCAATCAGGGCTTTGCTGTTCTTGAGAAGAAGATTTTTAAAGATTTTTCCTATATATCTCTATGTAAAACTTTTATCCTCCCTTGGGGCCCCACCCTACCCCCAGGGGTCATGATTTGGACATACTTAAATCTATACTACCTTAGGATGCTTCCATATCAATATGATTAATTAGGGCTTTGCTGTTATTAAGAAGAAGATTTTTAAAGATTTTTCCTATATATTTCTATGTAAAACTTTGATCCTCCATTGTGGCCCCGTCCTACCCCCGGGGGTCATGATTTGAACAAACTTGAATCTACACTACCTGAGGATGCTTCCATATAAATATGACCAATCATGGGTTTGCTGTTCTTGAGAAGAAGATTTTTAAAGGTTTTTCCCATATATTTCTATGTAAAACTTTGATCCTCCTTTGGGGCCCCGCCCTACCCCCAGGGGTCATGATTTGAACAAACTTGAATCTACACTACCTGAGGATGCTTCCATATAAATATGACTCATCATGGCTTTGCTGTTCTTGAGGAGAAGATTTTTAAAGATTTTTCCTATATATTTCTATGTAAAACTTTGATCCTCCATTGTAGCCCCACCCTACCCCCGGGGGTCATGATTTGAACAAACTTGAATTTACACTACCTGAGGATGCTTCCATATAAATATGACTCATCATGGGTTTGCTGTTCTTGAGAAGAAGATTTTTAAAGGTTTTTCTTATATATTTCTATGTAAAACGTTGATCCTCCATTGTGGCCCCGCCCTACCCCCGGGGGTCATGATTTGAACAAAATTGAATTTACACTACCTGAGGATGCTTCCATTTAAATATGACTCATCATGGCTTTGCTGTTCTTGAGAAGAAGATTTTTAAAGGTTTTTCCCATATATTTCTATGTAAAACTTTGATCCTCCATTGTGGCCCCGCCCTACCCCCGGGGGTCATGATTTGAACAAACTTGAATCTACACTACCTGAGGATGCTTCCATATAAATATGACTCATCATGGCTTTGCTGTTCTTGAGAAGAAGATTTTTAAAGGTTTTTCCCCATATATTTCTATGTAAAACTTTGATCCTCCATTGTGGCCCCGCCCTACCCCCGGGGGTCATGATTTGAACAAACTTGAATCTACACTACCTGAAGATGCTGCCACATGAGTTTCATCTTCCCTGGCTTTGTGGTTCTTGAGAAGAAGATTTTTAAAAGATGCAATTAATTTTTCACTAATTCTTTATTATCTCCCCTTGAAAGAGGGCGTGGCCCTTCATTTGAACAAACTTGAATCCCCTCCACCCAAGGATACTTTGTGGCAAGTTTGGTTGAAATTGGCCCAGTGGTTCTTGAGAAGAAGTCGAAAATGTGAAAAGTTTACAGACAGACGGACGGACAGACGGACTACAGACAAAATGTGATCAGAAAAGCGCACTTGAGCCTTCGGCTCAGGTGAGCTAAAAATGTTTGTTTAATGCTCATAAACTAGGTAGACTAATTCAGAATATCTTGTGCATTATGGTACTCTTCATTTTTGCAATATTAAAGAGGAAATGACGATTTTGGTGTTGATTTTGGCACTTTTCAATATTTCAGTTATCTGTGGAATTAGTTTGTACATTTCCCCATGAGTATCCTCAGGCTGCTCCCAATGTGTTCACACGATGTCCGAGTATGAGTAAAGAGAATCACAGGAAACTCAATGAGGACATGCATGAATTCATACAGAATCTGGACCGAGGAGAAATCTGTATGTACTCTGTCATTGAATGGATTCAGGACAACATTGATAACTATGTACAATCATCACAGGAGAGTGATTCAACGCCAGACAAAGAGGTTCAGTACGACACAGTTCTGTCCAGGCTGTGGATCTATAGTCACCATATCTTCAGCAAATTCAAAAGGAGAGACATACTGGACTGGGCAGAGGAGCTGAAGTTAACAGGATTTAGTCTGCCGGGAAAGCCCGGTGTGATATGTGCAGAGGGGTATAGTCGTAATGTGGAAGATTACTGGCATCGCCTGAGAGGGATGAACTGGAAGAGGATCGTCATCCGAGAGAAGGAGGAGGAAGACATTGGGGAGGATGACATCGACAAACACAGAAAATTTTCAAAGTTTGAAGAAAAAGTTTTTGGAGTTCGAGGAGGCAAAGGGAGGGAATACCACATGGACTTTGGACAGTTACACTCTTATCTTGAAGAGCATCAAAGTGGACATATATTCAGCATATATTTTGGTGTGGATGGGAAAAATAACTTATGATATTTATAAATACTGAATAAATTTTTTTATACACATTTCAACTCTTACAGTTATATATTGTTTTCTTGTACATGTACGTCATTGTGGGAAACATTCATACAAGAATCTGTGCAGTCTATTAACACAGTGGACATTTTAGTTACTTAGCATTCATTATCAAATGCCATCATTTGATCAATGAAAATTTCTGTGACTGTGGGGTTCATGTTTTCCTGTCAGACAGAAAGAAATCAAAGAAATAAATACATGCACAAGTGTAAAGATATTTAATACACAACATGAGTATATATTAAATGTAATAAATGTATAATAAACATATACTCCTTAAAAGACAAGGCAGCACTGGATGGAATGGTAGATCTAATTTTATCACTTGGATACAATTTATCCAAGTCAGTTTGATAAAAACTTCATCCACAAGATTTTGAACATTGCATACAAGGTGAATACCAGATTACAGCTGGTTTGTATGTGGGATGGAATATCAGTTGGCACAGTTTATCACAGGACGGAGTTGGCAGTAATCAGCAACATTGTAACTGAAGATCCATCATCGGACATCCTGTATATCAGCTCTGACGTGTGATCCATTAACGGACTTCCCTGAGTGCTGGCTGGAGGCTAGATCACTGACCAGTAAAGCTTCTGGATTCCTATGTAATAAATCAAATGTATTAAAATGGACAGTTTTTAATGCAGTTTAAATATGACTTGACATAGTGTATACAGTGTTATTTTTGCCCTAATCACACTCACAATTAATTTTGCCATATTTTAAATTTGCTCAGACACTGTTGTATTAGAGACATAGCTCATCCTCTTTGAATTCGCCCTGTTTTTAATAAGCCCACTTGTAACAAGGGCCACAGGGGCAAAAATAAAATGGGGGCAAAAATTTCCCTGTATATAGCTATAAATGACTTGAATATTCAACAATACCAGCCTTCCCAGTTCCCTTGTTCGTTATAACAGGCATTGTTTTAGTGACTTCAATATCCCATTTAATGATCACTAAAGCATTTTAAACAATGTGTATATACAGTTATACTGTAGATTCCTAAATATACGCGAGGCATTAATTATCGCGTAATTACGCGAGAAGCACCACTCGCGAAATAAAATTTCTCGCTTTTATTTTTATGGTGCTGAAATCAATGTAAAACCCCTTGATCAACCGCCCACTCGCGAATTATTGTTCTCGCGATTTGACGTGAAAGAGCCATTTCGCGATAATAAGTACTCGCGAAAAATAAGGAATCTACAGTACTCAAACTAGGATTACTGGAGCAGTATAGAAAAATATCAATGGATTCTGACCTAAATGAGTTCTCCATGGTGCTTCTCTGTAACTCCTGCATCAAACTTCTCTTCTCACTTGCCATTTGTCTTTCTCGGACAGATTGTCTTGCCAGCTATAACAAAGATTTACACTTCTTAAAATAAGGCCCGCAACTCTAAAAAAATTTTTCTAATTTTTCCCATACATGTAACAGAGGGGTTAAAACCTTTCTGTGACATCACACTGTACATCTACTCTGTACCTGTTTGGAGGCTTCTGCTGCCCTGTTTTCTGAATCCCTCATTCTTTCCTCTATCCTGTAGATATTTTTGGCATAATCTGTAATCATCCTCTCAGCCTGAAATGTATGGCCATACAGATAATACAGGTAACAAATAGAAGATATTTTTTTATACATGTAAAATATTGATGTTTCAAGGGAAATAACTCTTTTTAATTCATCTCTACAGAGAGACATTACAGAGTAGAATGACAGGGAATTTTATGATGCAAGGAAAATTCTTCATGACATTTCTTTGTATTCTTCATTAAATCCCTCAGTAGGATGTAAGGGGAGATAACTTAATTGTACATACCTCCATGGTCTTTGCCTGACTTTCTCGTAGCAGAGATGTCAACTCATCATTTCTCTTCTTAAGATGGCTTATTTCTGATCTCATATCATTTATTTTACTCTCAAATTTCTCTGTAATTGACTGGCATTCTTCTTTCCATCTGAATAAAAAAAAAAGTACATCAATGTCGGTCTTCCACTTCCTAGCATACATTCCTTTTTTTTTCTTTACATCTACTACAGACCTTGCACTCATTCTCTGCTGGCCTTGTAACAGATTCCTGAGTTCTGTTATAGTTTTCCTGCTGGCATCGTCAGAACACTGTAGTCTGACCTCGTAATCCTGTATCTTCTGCTGTATGTCATTCTCCAGAATCGCCATCTGTAAGATTTAGAGTCACTTATGTAAAATAATCCATGAATAGGGGGTAGATTATCCAGAATCACCATCTGGAAGATTCAGAGACACTTAAGTAAAATAGTTTGTGAGTAAAAAGGAGGGGGAGGGGGTTAGAGATTATCAAGAAAAGCCATCTGTAAGATTTACGTCCACTAATTTATCTACAGGCTAATGCATGATTCAAACCATTCTTGTCTTTTTGGACACTTAAGAGCACTAATTTATGATTGCTTTAATCAGTTGAAGAAGAGAATTGTGCTAATTGTCAAGTGCTCTAATTTTTGTACATTTACACTATGTATAGTACATGTTTGGTTCCTAAAATTATTGTGATCAAGGATTAGAAAATATGAAAGGGTGTGGGTAATTGATATGTTATATTAAAGAGTTCTTCCAAGAACATGATTTAAGATTTAATAAGAATTTCAAAACTACCTCTTTCTGATATTTCCTCTGGGCACTCTCTTTCTCTTTCTCAGCCAGGACCACTCTCTTCTTCATTTCATCCACCTCATTTTGAAGCTTTATCCTGTCTTCATTCAAATGTTCAAATTCCGTATCCATGGCTATTTTTCTTTGTTTCATTTCAGTTAGTTCCTTATCTGTTCTAGACCTTAGCTGCTCTTGACTAAAAATTAAAGGAAAAACTTTATCTTGGTTCAATGATTTTTACAGTGTATAGAGATACATTTTTTCATAATAATTTTCAATAAGGTTTGGTTGCACTTGTCGAATGTAATTATAAGGATTTGGGTATTGGTTTTATTATCCCCTCGCAATGAAGTTGTAGGGAATATAGTAATGCGCTTGTGTGTGTGTGTGTGTGGGGGGGGGGGGGGGTAATGAAAGTTACGCATGTAATTTATAGTGGGATTGATGTGCTCTTTTGTGAGTGGATGCTCCGCTTTGTGGTGCCCTTGTTACACATGTATTCATCAATTAAATAACATACTTCATTTCCTCCCTTTTAAGCATACTGGTCAGATTATCTACTTTGACCAATAATTCATCCCTCATTCTCTCAGCCTGTATGGCTCTCCTGTTAATGTCCTCATAGGCCCCTTTATCTTTCACTGCTTGTGCATGTCCCTCCTTCAAAACCTGAAAAGACATATTTACATTTTTATTTTAGGATACATGTATGTTACAGTTGAAATTCGGTTTCTCGAATACCATGGATATGTCGATGTGAGTTGGGAGTTCAGAGTATTTTCGCTCTAAGTATTTTACCCTTAATTACTCAAACCATCAGATATCTCAAAGTTTTTTCTTGGTCCCACTGAGGTCGAGATAATCAGGTTTGACTGTATTTTTTTAATGAAAATTGTATCATGAGATCCATAAAAGTTTATAGTAAATGTAATGTAAAGAGATTGACTTACTCTCTCTAATTCAGCCTCCACGTTCCGCTTGTCACGGAGCGCCCTCTTTATCTGTTCTTCCTTTTCAGCATTGTCCTAGAAGACAGATAATAAATTATTTTTATTATAATATACAACTGGTAAACATTTTGGAATAAATTTGCAACAAAAATTAAGGATTTTCACACAGCCACTTCTAACCATTTCCAAAGTGTGCAGCTCTACTGTCAATTTAGAAATTCTTTCATTACACTGCTTCCGTACACTGTCCACCTACAATAATATGTATACATGTATCTGTATTCTGTCATTAAATGCTTAAAAAGTACATATGCTAATGTAGGGATTTCAACAGTTTCTAAAATTATTTATAAAGCATCTTAAAAAATATTTAACAACAAGTTCTGAAACATTTAAAGCTTTTAAAAAGCTTCAGAATTGTAGCTCTCTGGGAAATAAATTTTCAGACACACATACAGTACCATAATCTTTTATGACTGTGCCCAAACAAAAAAAACTTCCCAGAAAATAGTTCTGTTGTTACTACCTAAACAGCTCACTTAAGCTATTCCTGCGGTTTGACATGACTTCATCATACATACCTCCTGTCTTGTTCGCACACCAGCATCATTAATTAGTTTATTTAGAGCTTCCTGTAATTTTTCAATTTCCTCTTCCTTTTGTTTCACTTCCATTTCAGCCTTTTGAAAATTCAGAAATTAAATATGATTTTTCAGTCCATACTGTTTAAAAATGATATCTCAGTCCAAAGTGTTTAAACCCTACTATTTCTGTTCCTAGTGTTTATTCATTTACTTCAACCAATATAAATTTCAATGAATGTCTTTTTTTTAAGCAAAAATACATGTAAAATGAATTCTTCTACTGCTTGTCTTTTCTTTAGGTCATTTTAAGGAGGTTGTGTTTTACAGAGAAGCTGATATCTCTCACCTGATCCTTCTCCAGGACAGAATTCTCTACCATCTGAACAGCATCCCTCACTTGGGCAACATATTCAAACTCTTTCTTCTCAAGCTCATCCCTTGACAAAATAAAGTGCAATTATATGTAATTCAATAAGAAAACTGTGTTATACTGTGTATTTTTTGTCTTTTTTTGGTTTGTTGTTTGTTTGTTTTTTGGTTACGGGTAATTAACAAAATCAGAACTGTGTGAAAGTAATTTGGATAATAAAGAAACAATAAAAAGTTGTCTAAGATAGTGAGAGTTAGTAGATCAAGTATCTGCCCTTCATATTATTAATCCATGTTCAAACTCAACGTGCGACATAAATGCCACTAATGAGAACATTTACCTTTCTTGAATAACAAAGTATCAAAACTATGCAGATCTTATATTGTAATGTAATACTGTTGCAATAGAGAAGTAGAATTACAGTCAAACCTCTTAATCTCAAACTCGATGGGACTGAGAAAAATCTTTGAGTTATCTGAGGATTCGAGATATCAAGGGTAAAATACATAAATAATAAGTGATTGGGACTTCAAAATTACTTTGACAAATCCATAGTATTTGAGATATTGGTGTTCGAGATACTGAAGTTTAACTGTATGTAAAATACTCAGTTTGTCAATATCATTACCAAGACAGCATTCACCTTTATCTTCTACTGAGGATAAATACTTCATCTAAACTAAGAATAAGTTCTTAAACCAAGACAGATACCAAAACAACTGTGTTAGTGATTGTATACATAAGTATAATTACTTACCCACGTTTTTTCAACTCGGACACTCTGGCCTCTAATGCAATCTTTTCTCCCTTGATATCATCCAATTCCTTTAATGCTGTTGATAATCTTTATTAAAAAAATGATATAAACAAATGAAAAAAATATCTTAATGTAAAAAAACAAAACAATTTCATGTGCTCCCTTGGAAATGTTTAAATCTCAGCCACAAACCCTTGTTATGAAATATATTGGAGTTGAAATGAAGAATTTACAGAAATAGTAACAGAGAGGCAGTCAGAGGAATGGAAAATTTTGACATCCCTGGTTTTACAAAGTTCAACATTTCCTATGATATTATCTATTTGGTTTATTCATTCTTACCTTTGGGATGTTTCATCCATTATTTTCTTCAGTTCTCCAACTCTGGAGTCAGACATTCCTTCCTTGAAGATGACATCAGCTATTTCTTGATCCTGCATTGAAAGTTAACAAGATAATAACTTTGTAATTCATTTAATCAACCTCTGAGGGAGAATCCTCAACAATCTACTCTTAAACAAGAGATTATTTGTCAAAATGTAAACACGACCAGGGAAAAAGACAACAAAACATAATCTGCTTAAGGATTAAAGGAATGGATTTGGAGGTCAGTGTTCTGAAAATACCTTAGTGCACCTTTAACTTTGATGAACATCAAAAAAATTATGACACATGTTTTAATAATCACAGTTGAATAAATGAGAAAAAAATGTTTAAAATTTTTTATTAGTATGATGGACAGATCAAAGGGGCCGGTAACAAACTACCGCTATGTTATTTTACGTAATCACTAGAGGATAACTTAAACTATATCAACTAACATGACAGGATATCAGGTTTGTAAAACATGGCTTAAAGGCTTTGTATATGATCCTGATAATATTTTTACTAATAAAAGAATAATTATTGCTGAATGATTCCAGTTGTTATTCCACTGGCTGCTAAGTATTTTCTTGAAAATACGGAGTGTTTTTTTTCAGTTTGACCCTGTGTAAATTTGGGCTGACATTGTTTCCCTTTTCCTTCTTGTGTCATTAGTGTTCACATAAAATCAATTAAATACAGTTACAATATGTTTTAGATCATTGCACCCCAACCAACAAGACACAAGAAAGAAACCACAATACTCTGAATTTGATCTTTCTGCATTCAGATATAAATACATTAAATGTAATTTACAGGACTTCAGCAATTTTCTTTAACAAATTGAGATCAACTACATGTACATGTATATTAAAAAATCTCGACAAAACAAACTTCCTGATTATCGCTTGATACTCAGAGTTAACAATCTACCTTCCAGACAAGTTGCTGCTCCAGATCCTTGTTTGACCTTTTAAGGTCGCGGACCTCCATATTAGCCACATCCAGCTGGTCTCGTGTGGACCTGACAAATATAATTATCTCCCAGCCATCAAAGTCACAGATTGCCATGTTAATGCAGCTTTATCGGAGTAATCAAATATACATGTACATTATAAGTGTAGAAGAGAAATTTTCAGATACAGTTACCTAAGGTCATTCTGTAAGGCTTCAATCTCTTTGTTCAACACAGACACTGTTTCATAATATTCTGACTTCATCTATAAAATAAATTCTACATTGTCTACAATTTTTCAGAAGAGGAGTTGTGTTCCTTCCTTTAATTGTAAGATACATCACTGGTTCTTATATGTACTGTTGAACTGTGGTACCTTGAACATTGATACATTGTATCTCAAATATCATGTATATATCATGGATATTTTGAAGTGAGTTGGAAGTCCCAACCACTTTTTCTTTGTGTGTTTTAACCTCAATATCTTGAATCCTCGGATTTCTTGAATTTTTTTTTTCTCAGTCCATTGGATAAAAGAGATAAAGAAGTTGGATGGTACTTACTTGGTTGGCCTGTTCTTCAACAATTTTCCATTGGTGACTGTCCTTTTCATTCTAATAGAAAAAGTTTAAATTTGTGAAAATTATACTGAAACTCACAAAAAAAAATCCATATTAAAATATTAATTTTTTTCAAAATAAATTTGTTTTCTTTATTTGGACATACAAGTATCATATCTTATTTGTTTCATAGTAAATACAATACAAGTATGTAAAAAACATACACTTTGGAATAATAAGTATTGTTAAATGCATTGTCTTATGACCCTGACCTGTAGCTCTCGCTGTAGACGGTCAATTTCTTGGTCTGCTTCTTGCCATCTCTCTAAAGCAGCATCTTTTTCCTGTAATAAAATAGATCCTCTAATAACCAACCATCTCTATTGGCAATATTTTTTGCTATTATAAAAGTAGTTCCTGATGTTAACTTTAAATGCATAACACTTATCTTTTCCCAAATCATCATAAATTATACAAGAGGCCCAAGGGCCTTAACGGTCACCTGAGTATGATAAAACAATTTCAAGGATGCATAGAGTATAAAATGAACTGAAAGGTGAAGCTTTGTTGCCCAAAAGCAAGAAAAATAGGGTGATCATGATCAACAAAACAATTGGTCTTAATATTCATTAACAGTTCATAAATTAGATTCTAATCTGTTCCCCATTTATCACTATCACTATACAGTATATTAACAAATTATCAATGCTTCTGTACTATTTTAATCCCTTGTTGAAATCTCTTACATTGGCATCTCTTGGTCTTTGATGAATATTTAATAAGACAAGTTATTTTTGTCTCATTTTTATTTATCTACTACTTACAAGTCTATCTGATCATTAAAACTATGAAAGTACTTTTTGTATTATACAATAAAAGTTTTTGCAAAATTCTCTTATTCTATTTACCTTTCAAGTACATTATTTACAGTGATAAATTATCAAAAGTATATGGTAAAGGGGAATAACTCCTCTCAGTAGAATACAAACTAATAGAGCCCTGACCAGGACCAGAACACTTGACCAAATGGTCCAGATGTTCAAAAATCTGGTAAAAATTCCCTTCCTTATAAAAACTTTTACTCTGTTTGCCTCAGATATGCCCAGGTGCAGAGAAGATTTTTAAATAAATAATGCATTTTTACTACAGATTCACTATATTATCAATAGAGCCCCCCCCCCCCCCCCCCCAAAACACCAGAGCTTCTGACCCTGGGACCATATGTTTGCTCATCATCACTTTGTTTATCTGCTTAACACTAAGGAGCAAACAGGATTATTTAATAGAATTAATGCATTTTCACTAAATTATCAAGAGCCCCACTCTCACACCAGCACATCTGACCCAGGGGTCATGAAATTCACTCCTCTGGAAGAAGCACACTTGCTCATCATAACTACACACTTAGCTTCTTTGCTTTTTTAACCAGAAGAAGAAAAGAATATTTTCAAAGAAATTTTGCTTTTTCACTTTATAATCAATAGAAGCCCCCCCCCCCCCCCCCCTTTCACCAGAACCCTTAAACCTGGGGTCATAAAATCCACAATTTTGGGAAGAGGCATCCTTGTGTATCATAACAATGTACTTTAGCCTGTTTAAGCAATACCCAGGGGCAGAGAAGATTTTCAAAGAAATAATTCACCTTCACTATAGGATCTATATAGCCCCGCCCTAGCACCAGAACTCCTGTCCCCAGGGCCATGAATTTCACAATTTTGGAAGAGGCATCCTTGCTTATCATAACAATGTACTTAGTTTGTTTAAATAATACCCAGGTGCAGAGAAAAAGATATTTAAAGAATTAAAACATTTTCACTTTATAATCAATAGAGCCCCGCCCTAACACCAGAACCCCTGATCCAGGGGCCACGAATTTCACAATTTTGAAAGAGGCATCCTTGATTATCATAACTATGTATTTAATGTGTTTCAATAATACCCAGGAGTAGAGAAGAAGATTTTCAAAGGATTAATGCATTTTCACTATATAATCAATAGAGCCCCACCCTAACACCAGAACCCCTGACCCAGGGGCCATAAAATTCACAATTTTGGAAGAGGCACTCTTGCTCATCATAACTATGTACTTAGTTACTGAATTTAATACCCAGGAGCAGAGAAGAAGATTTTCAAAGGATTAATGCATTTTCACTATATAATCAATAGAGCCCCGCCCTAACACCAGAACCCCTGACCCAGGGGCCATGAATTTCACAATTTTGGAAGAGGCACTCTTGCTCATCCTAACTATGTACTTAGTTAGTTTATTTAATACCCAGGAGCAGAGAGAAGAAGATTTTCAATGAATTAATGCATGTTCACTATATAATCAATAGAGCCCCGCCCTAACACCAGAACCCCTGACCCTGGGGTCATGAATTTCACAATTTTGAAAGAGGCACTCTTACTCATTATAACTATATACTTAGTTAGTTTATTTAATACCCAGGAGCAGAGAAGAAGATTTTCAATGAATTAATGCATTTTCACTATATAATCAATAGAGCCCCGCCCTAACACCAGAACCCCTGCCCCTGGGGCCATGAATTTCACAATTTTGGTAGAGGTACTCTTACTCATCATTACTATATACTTAGTTAGTTTATTTAATACCCAGGAGCAGAGAAGAAGATTTCCAAAGAACTAATGCATTTTCACTATATAATCAATAGAGCCCCACCCTAACACCAGAACCCCTGACCCTGGGGTCATGAATTTCACAATTTTGGAAGAGTCACTCTTACTCATCATAACTATATACTTAGTTAGTTTATTTAATACCCAGGAGCAGAGAAGAAGATTTTCAAAGAAATAATGCACTTTCACTATATGATCTATATAGCCCCGCCCTAGCACCAGAACCCCTGACCCTGGGGCCATGAATTTCACAATTTTGGTAGAGGACTCAATGCTTATCACAATGATGCCAACAGTTTGACTGCTTGATGTCCAGGAGTAAAGAAGAAGATTTTTAAAGATTGCATTAATTTTGGTGGTTTTAGCCCCACCCCTCAGGCCCCAGGGGGGCAGGGACCATGAAATTCACAATTTTTGTTCCCCTTCACCCATAGATGCTATATGCCAAATTTAGTTGAAATTGGTTGAGCGGTTTCAGAGAAGAAGCTAAAAATGTTCAAATGTTAACGCACATCGCACGACGCACGTCGCACGACGACGGACAAAAACGGATAGCAATAGGTCACCTGAGTGACTCAGGTGACCTAATAAAATGATGATTAAGAATGTGGATGTGATTAAATTCCACACTGCGATATTATTCTTGTAAAAAATTTTATTTGTTAAATCTTCGTGAATTGAATTGAACATATTTTATTGATAAAGTCAAAAGGATAAGACACAAGTTCTACAACTTAGTCTTCTCCTTCTAATCTTTGTGACAAAATAACATATTAGCTCAAAAAATATGTAATAGAAAAAAAAATGTCCACTTTTTTCCATATTCAAAACCTCTCAAGTGCATTATAAGCCATGTATCTTTTTATCATGCTGACTTATCAATAATACACCTTATTAGTGACTATTTGTTGGCTAGCCCCAAGCATTTAATTATTGACCTGTAGAGCACTTTCTGCCTGCATCTGAAGGTTCTGTAGCACTTGCTCCTGATCATTAGAGGGAGAGAACTCTCCATCCTCCACATTTCCCAGCTGATTCTCAATAGTCTCCCTTAGCTGTTGGACCAGCTTAGTGTTATCTGCTACAACTCTCTCTAGTTCTGGTCTCAGCTGAGACAGCTCTTTCTACAAGGAAAGAGAGAGTTAATACATTAACCAAACTTTGGGAATGTGACATCAAATGGTTTCTACTTTTATACATATACCACATTAAAGGAAAATAAGATGCAATATTTTATTCAGAAATTAATCAAAACATGAATTCTTAAAATTATACAACTTTTGTCTAAGATTTTCAGAAGTCATCATGTAAACAAGATTTAATTATTTATATGTGTGCAGGGAAGTTGCAATGTAAATTTATCATACTATTGTTTTGTATTTTACTTAACAAAACCAATACATTTAGAAAATCTTTTTCCTGTTCCAATTTCTGAAATTGCTGATCATATTCTTCTATGAGAGGGGCCAATGCACTGAAAAAACAAGAATAATCATTTGACACTAATTTTACATTCAAGCATAGATTACAAAATTTATCTTATTCTTCTGAATATTTAACAGAAAAATTATTTGTTATAAATATTTATAGTCTAGAGAGTATTTAAAATTTCATCAACAGACTTGAGGATATTTATTCATGTTCATATTTTCATCTGCAAATGAAAATATTGCACTCTATATGTATATATATCTTAAATAAACACATGTATATATTCAAAATAAACCTTTTTTCTGTTAACCATGGTGCAGCCGGACCAGGCTGATCAAGTGGAGTCTGAAATAAAAACATGATTCTGCTTTGTATTTGTCATTGACAAAAAAGAAAAAAAACAAACAAACCAAAAAAAAGAAAAAAACAAAAGAGTCAGAAGCATGCTCTACATGTTGAATTGATTTCATAATAGTTGAACTTGATAGTCAACTTGTGTACCACATTTTATTGAAATTAAATCAAAACTGTGGAAAAAAAAAAGAATTTTGAAAGAATTTCATGAATTCTTCAGACAAATGATGGACATCCTACCAATGCATTAGCTCTTCTGGTCTCTGACCAACAGAGTGAAAAATCATGAAAAATATACTTATCAGCAGATACTAATCCTGTAATTCTTCATTTCTAGGTATTACCTCTATTGGTACAATAATTTTTTTACACAAATGCTTAAAACAAAGTAGAATTTATTTTTTTGAAGACTGTCAAGAATAAATTAATTCTGCTTAATCAACATTCCATTTCAAAATCTAGTAGTAGTAGTCGCTGACCACCATTAAATTTTTATCCTAGTACGTTATATTTTCCACTTTGAAAAACAACTTGTTCCTGTTGTGATCATCTTCACCATGTCAATATCTTGTAATATAATCTATTTACTGAACACAATCTAAATTAGTGCACTTTGAAATGCACCAAAGTAAAATGGGGTAAACTATTTGGCAGGATGAACATTTCTAAAGATATGTTTTTGTCTTACCTCTTCCCTCTGTATCTCCTGATATCTGTATTTGGCCAATTCAGCATTTAGTCTTTGAACTGTTACAAAATTATCAAAGAAAGAATTATATATTGTAACTAGCACATCACCAGAATTCAAGCTTTAATTTGGAATTTTAGAAAATAAATTTTGTCTTTATAACCTACTTGATGTAAGTATTTTCGCTACACCCCTAAAAAAATAACCCAATAAGTCAAGCAGGGACCGTACAATAACATTTTTCTATATAATTGTTACTTTGATATTTCTTTTGATTTTATTCTTGACAAGATAAATCAGCAGTTCTACTCTTCAGTTTTCATCATGAGCCATGTTGGATTAAAATTTTAGGCTGTTCAATCATCCACAGTATGCAGGTCAGATGCAGCATATGAGGCAAGACTGGTAGTGTGCATCCTTAGCTGCATCATCCAGTGACTAAAAATTTAAATCTGGTAAACCATCTGGAAAATGTAGGTCAGATCCAGATCAGATGCAAGTCTAGTTACCGTGTAGAATCCCTTTATGCACCATCCATGCATGGATCTGTTCAAAAACCTTTCATTTGTTTATTCATTCAAAAAAAAGGATAGATTCAGCATCTGGAGCATGACTGGTAGTTTGCATTCCTAGATGCATCATTCATCTTAGTTTATACATCGAATGGCCCATACATGTAGATACTTGGAAATGAACTTGCTCCAAAAATCTTTAATCTGGTAAATCATTACACATCCAGAAAATGTAGATCAGATCCAGAATCCTAAGCAAGTCTAGTAGTGTGCACATCACTCAAGTTTAGTCACCATGGAGTTTCTAGCTACTTTAAAATGGATCTTCTCCAAAAGCTTCAATCTGGTTAATCATCTAGAAAATGTTGGTCATATCCAGCATCTAAAATAAGTAGGTCTGGTACTGTCCACTCTACATGCTTCACTCATGCAAGTTTGGTCTAGGTAGGGCCTATAGGAATGAACCCCCCCCCCCCCCCATCTTTTTGAAAAAGCGACATGGAAGTATAGCAGTGTTTGAAATAATCGTGCACCCCACCACCGAGACGCACGAATTTTGCCGTGCACAAACAGATTTGCACATATCAAAGCCCGGCTGGACGTGTTAAAATTTGACATAAATTAAAAATTCATACCTTTGATAAATATCTCTCAAATCAACTAATAGTATTGATAGTTAAGTGTTACAAGCAAAGGGGTAGAATTCAACAGCCTATAGATTCGGGATGGAAGTTGATTGTGCCTGATTTACATTATTGCTAAAAACAAGTTTATAAAAGACTTTTATTTTCCTGGGCTAGTAGAGTTTTGGCAGGGCTGACAACTTTCACTATCAGTCAGCCCTGCCTGTCTAGCTAATTCTACCTTGAGTTTCAAACACTGGAGGGGTGCTAGTCACTGCGCCCCAAAACCAGAACGCCCCATGCATGAGCGCCCCAAACATTTTTACCGGCGCCCAAGAACAAATATGAGCGCCCCAACTTAATTCACGAGCGCCCCAAATCAGCATTTCGATCGCCCCAAGGCTCATTAACTAGTAAAGAAATAAATTATTGGCTTTTTTTTTACATTTCGATGTTAAAAATATATTGATATGAACAATTCATGAGCCTCCCAAATTATATCTATCATAAGTGCACCAGATTTTAAGTATAACGAACTCCCCAAGATTTATAAACTAGCATTATGAAATAATTATGAGATTATAATTGAGCGGGCTCCTTAATGCGGGATAACGGCGGTGCTCAGACTTTGAAACTATCGTTTTTAATTACACAAATATTTAAAAGTTGATAATATAAAAGAATATTACACAAGTGTTCTTTGAAGAAGGAAAGTCAAACAAAAGAATATTTTGTACAGTTGTATGCAACTAAACATAAGTCTATTTCAATATAGATTCAAGTGAAATATTCCAAAAATAAAATATAACTGATGAAGTACTTATATGTATAAAATTATCACATAACGAGAGCACCTACAGATACCTGTGTTAGATCGGACGATGTTGTTTGGGGCGCTCGAAATGCTAATTTGGGGCGCTCGTGGAATAAGTTTGGGGCGCTCATATTTGTACTTGGGCGCCGGTAAAAATGTTGGGGGCGCTCATGCATGGGGCGTTCTGGTTTTGGGGCGAAATGACAGTAACCCCACTGGAGTATAGTATCAATTCCTCTCGACTTTATCAAGGTATAATTTTTAATAATTTTTTCTTGCATATATTTTCTTTTTTTGCAACTCGTGAAAATTTAAAAGTAAGTAAGTAGAGGCAGACTTCCATTACACATGTTACATTCATTGATGTCATTTAATGCCACTGTCTAGACTACATAAGAGGTGGATCCAGTTGTGAAGCATAAACATATAAAAAAGGGAACTCACGTAAATATTTTCGACAAATTACATAAACACTGCTGTACGCATCTATCAAACATATAAGTACTTGTATCACAAACTAATTTAAATAACTTGATTTAAAAAAAATGAAATAAAATTTTCACTCATCTGATATTTTCATATCAGTTCAGACTTGCACAAATATGCCCCATCGCATTTTATAATTTCCTTACCCTGATCCTTTAAAAATTCTATCTGTTGATCTTCCATAATAATTGAACTTAATGTTAATCAATGAAAAGTATTTGTAATTTTTTTGAAAAGTCTATTAATTAAGTAGATTCTTTTCTAATGCTTTTCAAAATCCCTCCCAAGTCGCCATATTGTAAACAAACAGTCCCGCAATGAATGAATGCGATCTTTTCTAAAATTTAAGTGATACAGACAGCATTGTAAAAAATCAAGACAACTCATTTGAAATTATTTCACACAATTTCACAAATTTCTTTGATTCTCTAATTCTATGTTGACCAAGATCATTTTCTCCGACACATGAAAGTCACATGATTTTTCAAGATGGAGGAGGTGGACAGAATCATTATTTTTTCCATTCGAGCAATTGGCTGGTAAATAAATATTATAGGTTTCTACAATCTAAAGTCTCTATTTTATCTATTTTTGTTTAGACTAATAGATTTCTTTATTACTTTTACTACTTTCTGAGTATGTGCTGTATAAATACTTACGCCACCATGCTAAGTGTAGCCTTGAACATGTAGGGGGTGGAATATGGCCATTTAGCACAACGTGCAATTATTTTGGACTTCAACATCCTAAGATAAAGTGCTTACACTTTTTTTAAAATAAGCAATTTGTAAAATTGACAAGGTCGCCCAGAGCTCAGCTGCTATCTTCGACCATGTTTGTTTAAAGATATCAATTAGATTTTAAGTGCACTGTATCTAATCAATGTGATAACCATATATATATATATATATATATATATATATATATATATATATATATATATATATAATAGAGTAGATTTATTTGCCGATCATGGTCCCACTGGGGGCATAACATATATAAATACAAGTAAGCATGATTTGTAAACACTCAAGAGGAGAGGTAAACACATAAATATACAGCAATGCAATATAATAATTTTTCAGTGACATTGATGAAGAAATAGTAAGTTTAAAAGAATTTTCAACTGAGTTGATAGTATCATCTGCTGTCCAGTGCATCAAGACAATTTTAAAGCAAGATGTTGATTTGCCAAACACCCTTCCCGGTGGAATGTCAGCCAGGTTCCGGATGGGTACAGGACTTGCCAACTATATACAGGTATTTATTATCTTCTGTAGATAATGAACAATACTTCCTGTATCATTGATCTAATTAATGAGCTTTTATTAAAACATGAAATAATTTTCTTGGGTCTTGAAGCAGTTATAAATTATTGGTATCATTGGTGTATATTTGTAATTGTTTTTTACTGAGATTTTGTTCTACACTAAAAATGTTCATCACTTGACCCAATTCTTTTTAAGGAACTTGGATATAAGGGAGAGATTGGATACCAAACATTTTTATACTCAAATGAATCTGAGATAAGAAAGGTGTTTATGTTCCTGGTGGACAAGCTGCCTAAAGACACTGCTGAGACAGCAGAGGAACCTATGGGTAAAGCATTAAGACTCATCCCAATCATGACATAGTACAATATTTTACCTTAGAATATACACACTGAAGTCCTTGTTCACTGATCTTTCTTTTTTCTTTTTAAAAGATATCTTATTTAAGTGATGCTTACCTCTATAACTTCCATTAAAAAATCTTTAATTACATTGCAGTCTGAAACTTCAGAACATACATATACATATATATTTATAAGATTCCCTTTCAGTGTGTTATGCATTTGATACTTTAATTTCTTTTTTAGGGTCATCTGCTTTGCTACAGAGAGCAATTGCTTCCACTGTATTAAGACAGATCAATTCACCTTGGATCTCTCCAAATCTCAAACAAGATTCCATCACATGGAGAGGCAGGCCTCCTACATGGCAGAGAGAGGTGAGAAATCTTTTTGAATAAGCTTATATTGCAGCTAAGAAGTTAGACAAAGTTTTCCTTTTGACAAAAAATTGTTCGCTACATTTCAGGGATCATGTGCAATGTGTAGCTACCATGCCTGTAAACTTAAGTACCCGAGTGGTACAGGAGATCTTACCAAAAAAGTGCCAAAAGGTAAAACAGAATAGTATACAGTATGATGTTTATAGCTTGAAGTAGGATACATTATTAAAAGGTGTGCTCATAAATTATTTAGACTCTGTTAACTGTTAAGGACAGAAAGGGAGATAATGCCATGAAAACTTGTAATAATGTAATACCATGATACTACTAAAATGCAAATTTTAGATGCAGTCACAGTACTTGATCAGTCACATTCAGTATGTTGGTGTACCAGGAACAATTCTTCAACACTACATAAGATGTTTTGTTGATGTTCTTACCGTAATAAACAATATAAAAAAAAACAACACTTCATCTCTGTGTCCACATTGGTCCAACTGAACACATTAAATTTTCAGCGGCTGATTTACATGCTGATGCTAAATATTAGGGACTTTTTACCGTAATTGCATTTCTCAGGGTTTGACACTAACTTTTTTAGGCTTTAGTCAGGCCGGACTAGTGCTTCTTTAATTTTACTAGTCCGCATGCAATTTTATGAGCCCGTCCAAAAAAAAGGAAACATCAATGTTTTGTAACATTAATTTAAAAATAAACATTTCAATATACATGTACGTTTTTATACTTTTTTAAATAAACAAAGCATTTACGTAAAATGGTTTATTCCACAGCATAAATTTGTTGAAATCTCGCGATCAACGAGTACAATTATATTCATTTTCTCTTTACATTACATCCAAAATGTCTGACATCTTTCATTTATGTGTCATATAAATTATGATCGCTAAAACGTTTTACTGCATATCAATCAGTCGAAAAATTAAGTGCTGACTCGAAATTGTCTTACTACCGCCAAGAAGCTAGAAAGCTAAAAATAAATGTGGTTTTTTTTCAGTAAAAGTTGTGGAGAATCGGACATTGATAAATTATTTATGTTGTTTTCCAGGAATTTTTATTGGTCTGTTCAGAATAATTAGCCACAGATTTTATTAGTCTGAATGAAAATGTATTGGTCTGAGACTAACGGACTAACGTAAGTGTTGAACCCTGTTTCTGTCCATGTTTTATGCATGTTTATTAACTAGGAGGTGTGATTTTTTTTTTTTCAGAACTAAAGTCTTACTACTGTGAATGTCTTCCATATTTAACAAACCAAACAATAAATCACAAAGACACGGGACCTTCAGTTCTAGAGGAGATGGCCAGTGAAATTTCAGAACAAATGGAGTGGGAAACTGAATGGAATACCCAAGGCTTAGCTTCTAGACTCTCAGTACAGGCATGCAGACAAAATTCTATAATTTCTAATATACATGTATACCATTTTTAAAATTTGTGATTTTTATTTGGTGGAATTTTTTCTTCTTCAAAACCGTATTAAGCTTATTCTTAAGCTGATCTTAGAAAATCTAATATAAGCTAAACATACATGAATATATTTTCATCAAAAATTACATATATACTTGATAATCTTAGAGTATGCAAAATAGAGAGTTATTAGATGAACTCAAGTACATGGCAAGTCCCTGATTAGAGTTAAAGAGTTTTGAATTATGAATTAAATGTTCAATAACAGGACTACAGAGCCAGGAAGAAACAGAGGATACAGAAGCGACTGGCGGAAACACTTCGTCAAGACTTCAAGAGAAGTCAGGAAACCTCAGCCTCCCGCACAGCTCAGGATCTACAACAGATTCTGGACAAAATGGGAAGCCGAGCCTCCACCTCCAAAACCAAAGGGTCAAGGTTCACACACACAGAACAGCTAGTGTTTGCCAAGGCAAGTCTTTAGAAGAACTAGAATTTTGAATTAATGTATTAATAAGGTATTAATGAAAAAATTCCTAAAAAGTCTCTTTTTCTCTCATTATTTAAAAAATATCTTCTTTTAAAATTGTTTGAGGGTATTTCAGTAATATGATTTCATGTGACTTGTTTTATCAAGTATAGATTATATTCTCTTACTTACATGTACCTTTGGTCTAAGATCCATAGGTGTTAAACTGATAAATTGAGATGTATTATGCACTAAATGCTCCAGGCATTTAACTTAAATGTTCCTAAAGTTTAAAAGTTCTGAAAAATGAAAATGTGAGACAAAAATAAAGTTTTTCTTAGTTAAGTACATGTATTTATGAAAATTTTACATTTAGACCCATTTTTTACAGGATGAAGCATTATCACAGATAGGAACAGAGGCAGAGAAACCACACACAGAGGAGGTGAGTATAGCAATCTACATGTTCTGTATACAGGGAGATTTTTGCCTCCCCCTTTTATTTTCGCCCCTTTCGTCCTACTCACAGGTGGGTGAATTTAAAAATGGGCGAATTCAAAGAACACAGTATAATTTCTTTAATCAGAACTGTGACTGGACAAATTTAAAACAGGGCAAATTTGTTAGCAAGTGTGAAAGGGTGAAAATAACACGGGGTGAAAATAACCCTGTATACAGTATGTAAGGAAGAAGAGAGGGAGACCATATACAGTGTAGGCCTTACTGTAGCTCAAATCTGTATAAACCAAGACTCTGTCTTAAATAAATTAATACATACAGATCAAACTGGATTTTTAAAAGGAAGATATATTGGAGAGAATATTAGATTGATTTATGATATAATGGATTATACAGAATGCAATCAAATTCCAGGATTACTTATGCTTATAGATTTTGAAAAGGCTTTTGATACTATCTCATGGAATTTTATTTACGAAACACTTGATTTTTTCAATTTTGGAACCTCAATTAAAAACTGGATAAAGACCTTTTATAGCAATATTAAATCCTGCGTCATACAAAATGGTTTTATATCTAATTATATATATCCAGAAAGGGGTTGTAGACAGGGGGATCCTATATCACCTTATTTGTTCTTACTATGTGCTGAAATTTTAGGTATTTTAATTCGCAAAAATAAAGATATAAGAGGTATAACAATAGACGGAGAAGAGTACAAGATTTCTCAATATGCAGATGATACATCACTTATCTCTGATGGATCACCTGAATCTATGGATGGAATTCTTAGAGAATTAGACTACTTTGCAAAGGTGTCAGGACTCAAAATAAATTTTCAAAAAACAAAAATGATATGGATTGGTAGTAAAAAAAATTTCAAAGGATGTATATCACCATTCTAGATGGAAGTTAGACTGGAGTAGCACAACTTTTGATCTTTTAGGGATTAAATTTTCAGTAGACTTACATAATGTGATTAATCTCAATTATACATCAAAGTTAAGTGAGATTAAAAAAACATTAAATCAGTGGAAAGTAAGAAAGTTAACCCCCATTGGTAGGTTAACTGTAATTAAAACATTGATTATCCCTAAATTAAATCACTTGATACTTACTCTACCTAATCCATCATTAGAAATTGTAAAAGTATTTGAGGATGAAATTTATTCTTTTCTTTGGGGAAGTAAAGTCCATAAAATAAAAAGAAATACTATCATTCAAGACTATAGAGATGGTGGCCTTAGAATGGTAGATTATTCAGAGTTTATGATAGCATTAAAATCAAGTTGGATAAGAAGATTAATCCATTCAGATTCCAAATGGGTAAAATTACTTCAAGCACAACTACATACAGAGATTAAAAATCTTTGGTTAATGGGTCCAGATTTTATTGCTAAATTATGTAAGAAAATAACAAACACTTTCTGGATAGAAGTCTTTAAAAGTTGGCTTAAGATATGTCTTGTAGAACAACAGAAAGATACAAATTTATTCCAAGAACACATATGGTATAATCCAAAAATCATCATGGGCGAGTCTTCTATCTTTCTTAAAAGTTATTTTAATGCTGGTTTTGTTTTCATCAGTGACTTGTTTGACTTTGATAATAATTTTTTAAGCCTCGACACCCTTAAAGATCTCGGTGTAAAAACAAATTTTGTTGAATATTCTGGCTTGAAACAGGCAGTGTTAGATAGATTTGTGAACAAAAACCAAATGAATATGTTGATTTCTTATGGCCCAAATATACCCAATTCTGTGAAGATGTTTTATATTAACGTGAAAGGATGTAAAGATATGTATAACATTCTTATTAATAGAAAGAAAGAAACAAGTACTTCAATTTTAAAATGGAATGAAGATGGATATTTATTCACTTTGCCTGAATGGAGTAAAATTTTTGAACTCCCATTTAAAGTTACACAAGAATCAAAACTTCAGTGGTTACAATTTCAAATTTTACATAGAATAGTTCCAACAAATTCATATCTTTTTAAACTTAAGATAAAGGAGTCCCCAGCTTGCAGTTTCTGTAAGAATGACATTGAGTCAATTGACCATCTTTTTGTTGAATGTTATTTAGTAAAAGAGCTTTGGAATGATATTGAAGAGTGGTTTCTGTCTAAGTTTAACATATCTGTAGTTTTTGACAGAACAACAATATTATTTGGTAAATATAAGAACAGGGATACACATAAAGTGCAAAATTTAATTACTCTGATAATTAAAAATTACATTTTTTCAAGTAAATATAAAAACCATCCACTGTTAAGTACAATAACTCTAAAAACAATTATTGTGGAAAGAATCTTGATTGAGAAATTTTTACTATTGAAACAATGTAAATATACAGAGTTTGAAAATAACTGGCAGAGAATATGTGAAATGTTATAATTTATATGTATATATGCAAATTTTTTTAAGGAATGAATGTTGCTCATTACCACCTTAATGTAAAAAAAAAAAAACTATGCCCCCTTCTTTATTATATTTATTTATTTATTTTTTCTTTTTTTTTTTTTTTACTTTCTCCCTCCTTTTCCTCTATTTCTTCTTTCTTCTTTTTCTTTTTCCTTATTAAACCAACTTTCACATAAGTGTATGTGTTGTAAATGTATATCTAGGTATGTAAATGTACTCTGTATATGGTATTCTTAATATGCACATGAGTGAAGATATACGCTTATTTGATATAAATGTGAAAGCTGAAAAAAAAAAAAAAAAAAAGACTCTGTTTCCTTTTCAGGAACTTCAAAAACAGAGGGAGGAGGAACTACTAGGTTTAAAAGAAGAACTTGAAAGCATTAGCTCAAAATTTGATCAGTTAGATTTAGAAGTCAAAAAGTATAATGCTGGTGTGAAACAGATGGAAGAGGAGATAACCACTCAGACTAGACAGAATACAGAGAAGGAGGAGACTTATAAAGTCAAGAAAAGAACCCTGGATCTCTTACCAGAGGCAGAAAGTAATATTGCTAAACTCCAGGTAATATTTCTCTCTTCAGTCAGTGTAGGAAGCACATTATGGGGTCAAACTGAAAGAATACCAGGTGTTTTTTTTACAAAAGGAGAGGTTATATGCAAAAAAAAAAAAAAGAAGAAAATTTTCTTGTTGTATATTTTAAGACTAGATAGAGATTGTGATGCATGTGAAGTCTTTCAAAATGTTAAGCTTAATTGATAGTTTACAACTTTACATGTATTATATAAATATGTAGGACAATTAGTTGTTAACTTGTAACATGTGTCTTAATGCAAGTTCTTTCTTTTCTCTCTTTCTAGGCTATTATAGATTCCAGTGCCCAGAAGTTAGTGACATTAGCCAACCAATGGGAGAAACACAGAGTGCCTCTTATACAACAATTCAGGGAACTCAAGCAACTCAACTCTCTTAAGGAGGTATAGTAGGGTGGGGGTAGGATGGGTTCCAGTTGGATGCTGCATGTGTTTATAACAAGAGAGAGAGAGAGAGAGAGAGAGAGAGAGGTTTTTAAAAAATAAGAAATATGCAATTCTTTATCAGAAAATTTATATTCAACATATTTTAAAGTGTAACCCTTTGCATTTTTAACTCTTCTGAGCCAAAGGCTCAAAGAGCTAATACTATGGCCATTTGTGCGGTGTGCATAACTTTTTAGAATATGGGCCATAACTCAAGAACCCCTTGGCCAATTATTGTCAAATTTGTCACAGGGTATCCTTGGCCCAAGGGCTCCTGTTTATACTAAAACTAGGGTTGTGACCCTTAAACAAGGGAAGATAATTAGGAAAATAGAAACAAAAGTACTGGTTGCTAAAAAAATGTTTTCAAGAACCACTGGGCAGATTATCACCAAACTTACACAAAAGGATGAGGATATGTTGTAGATTAAAATTTGCATGGGGATTTACCCTGGGGAAAAGGGCGTGGTCTCAAGGTCACTTCAAAGTTGACCAAAAATTACATTTTATTAAAATGTTGATATTTTGCTTACTATAAGGACTAGGATCATCAAATCTTGTCAGTTGATGCATCTAAGGATATCATATCATGTTGACTCAAAAGTAGGTCACAGTGACCTACTTTTTGAACTTTGCTGGCATTCGATTTCAAAGCGTTTTAGAGGCATAATTTGGACATTTTAAGGCCTATGATCATAAAACTTTGTAAGTTGATGCATCTTGGATCTTCAAAAAGCGTCAACTGAAAAGTGGGTCACCGTGACCTACTTTTCAATTTATATGACTATAATTAAATATTTCAGGTACTAATTGGCTTAGAATCATCAAACTTTGTCAGTTGATGCATCTTGGGTCCTCAGAGTATGACAACTGAAAAGTAGGTCACCGTGACCTACTTTTGAAAATTTATGGCTTTAATTAAATATTTCGGGTACTGATTGGCTTAGAATCATCAAACTTTGTCAGTTAATGCATCTTGGGTCCTCAGAGTATGACAACTGAAAAGTAGGTCACCGTGACCTACTTTTGAAAATTTATGGCTCTAATTAAATATTTCAGGTACTAATTGGCTTAGAATCATCAAACTTTGTCAGTTGATGTTTAAACTGAAAAGTAGGTCACAGTGACCTAATTTTAAAATTTTTATGCTTTTATTTAAATTTAGAATCATCAAACTTTGTCAGTTGATGCATCTTGGGTCCTCAAAGTATGTCATCTTAAAAGTAGGTCACTGTGTCCTACTTTTGAAACTTTATGGTTATAGTTTTAAAAATATTTTAGGTATTAATTGGCTTAGAATCATCAAACTTAGTTGATGCATCTTGGGTCCTCAGAGAATGATAAGTGATAAGTAGGTCACCATGACCAACTCTCAGGTACTAATTGACTTAGAATCATATTGGGTTCTCAGAGTGTTTCATCTAAAATGTAGGTCATGATGACCTACCTTTTGAATTTCAAGGGTTTATTTAGATAAACAGGATACTTAGAGGTTTCAAATAGAAGTGATAGGTTGTACAGTTTATCAGAAGAGAGATTCAAGGCCCTTGGGCCTCTTGTAATTAGTCATGTTGGAAATTCTTTGTAGTCAGAGGCAGAAAAGAAACTGGAAGAAATTAAAGCATTTAGACAAAAGATGAAGGAGGTGGCTGATGATGCCAGAAACAAAGAGGAAATGCTAAAACACCTGGTAAGTATAGTTATTTGGTATCTCAGACACCAGTATGTTGAATGCCAGAGATATGTTGAATTGAGTTCTCATGTTCACAACTTCAGTGTAAGAATCAGTTTCATCTTTGTTATTGCGAACAATGAGTTTGAGATACTTGTACAAGAGTTTAACTGTAATATATGAGGGGTGATCAAAATGTTTGTGAACTGGTGCAATAAAATTCTCATTACATATTCAATTTCATGCTTTTTGTTTTGACAATATGTACAAAAGATTACTTAGCATACAAAATTTCAATGCCATATACCAAAAAATAAACTAGATGTGACATACAAAATCAACGTGTCACGACCCATCCAAGGTTGCTGGTCAATTTTCAATGTCAGTAACGTCATGAACGTTCTTGATTTTTTTTTTCAAAATAATCCCCATTCTCTTTGATACATTTCTAGTGTCAGTACACCCACATTCTGGGTCACAGAAATTTACAGTGATCTTAGTAAACCTAGATTAGCAATAACAGATATCATTAATTAAGATTTCCTTATATTAAATAATAAGCATAATAAAGCTAAAATACACGTGTTTATAATTGTTGACACTATTATTAGAATGCCGAGTATAGCAGTATGAAGAAAGATGAGAAGCGATCTGGTTATACAAAGAGGATGATGGAGATCATGTCCAGCATAAAGAAACAGAGAGATGAAATAGACAAGGTGTGGTAATTAACTGGTCGTAAATGAAATAGACAAGGTATGCTAATTAACTGGTTGTAAATGACATCCTCGTCTCACAGGAAGCAACTATTTTAAGTTTATGTTATGTTGCATTTACACCTTGTTCAGTGATTCTTTCAACTAGTTGTATAATGTAAACAAGTAGTCATAAAACATTGAAGTTATCATTACCATATCACCTTTATAGTTCAGAATAAAAGGGGGACAGAAAATTAAAGTCTTGTGCAAACATATCAGACTACTTATAAGTAGAAATGTATGAAGATCAAATGTTTACGCAATAAAAAATTTAACAGAAGATCAAGATACAGAGGATGAATATACATGTATTTTATAAGAAATGACATACATGGACATTTATTATAACACTGATGGATATACAGTGAATTGTTTTAATTTCTAGGTGCTAATTGATACCAGATCCATACAAAAGGAAATTAACAGCCTGGAAGGAAAACTAGGCAGAACATTCACAGTAACAGATGAACTCATATTTAAAGTAAGTAGTCTCTTAATGAAGACTGGTGTAATTCATTCTCCTCAAAATCTGACAACAAAGTTATTACATGTGTACCTGTTATCATTATTTCTTGATGTGTAGGATGCCAAGAGAGATGAATCCGTGAAGAAAGCATACAGACATCTAGCAGCATTACACGAAGTAGGTACTCTGTATTCAGCTTGATTTGGGACTTCATTTCTAAATCTCTATCATATACATTGTGTTGTTACTTTGTGTACATAGATTTACTTCTGTTTGTTTTAGAACTGTGAACAGCTGGTGAAGACGGTGACAGATACGGGGGTCATTATGAGGGAGATCAGAGAGCTGGAGGACCAGGTACTGAGATTACAGATATTTACAACAGTACTAATCATTTAGGAGTTAATATGGTACTGATGATCAGTATCTTAGTATATCACTGTGACAGTACAGATTAGTATTTAGGAAATATCACAGTACTGATTAGTGTCTCAAATCTTGAATCAAGTTTATACATGTAGAAGAGCAGTAGTGAGGAGTAGTAATAATGGCTAGATAACTCGAAAACAACTGTCTAGGGGTCCTGAGTTCAAATCCTAGTCTGGTCCATTAAGTTTCTCCATTTGGTGCCATACCTGCTCAGAAATTGACAGGTGAAAGAACCTACCAGGGAAGAACCTGGGTAGATGTCTTTAGGATGAAGGCAGTTCAAGAAGGAAGAATGTAGTGATCAGGCAGGTTCAATTGCCAATGGCCAGATAGCTGACATGTTAAAAGCCTGTCTCAGGTTCAGGGGCTGTGAATCCTGGTCTATCTGTCACATTTTCTTCCTGTTACCTATCATTTAGTTTTATTTGATATCAATGTTTATGTGACATTTTTTTTCATGTTACACCAATGTCCTTTTTTTGCTTTGAAACTTTAAATAAGTACAATTTGAGATCCATTGTAAGATCTTACATTTTTAAATTAATTTATTTGAAAATACATGTAGTTAAAAAAAACATTATACACCATGTCCAAGCTCAATTTTAAAAGAAAAAGTATTTAAAATGTCTTCATTTACAACATGTAACTAAGTGTATTATGTATTTGTAGATTATGTATGAAAGCAAAAACAAAGTATTATCAAACCTGGAGAAGATTACAAAGGACTACCAGCAAATGAAGAAAGAGAACCAGTCAATGATAGACAAGATTAAACACAAGTCCTGATATTGAGCACAGGATAGTCAACACTTAGATCCACCTCCTTTAGATCATCCACCTACTATAGATCCACTTCCAAGGCATTCTACATAATGTATTCATTATTGCTTACCATATATACTACATCTCTGTGATATAAGTGTTGTCAGAATGTACAGAAGTACAACAGGCATTCCTCCAAAACCAAAAACTCTGAAAACAATTTAATACATGTACAGTGTATCGTAAAAGTGCTCTTCAGAAATCTTCTTTGATCTTGCTGTGATTACTATGCATAAGTGCATAAGCACTTGCAGTGTTTCCCTTTATAGCAAAGTCATCTGCTTTTATACAAGTTTTTCTTTAACTTCAAAGCTTGTTCTTCTATAAACACAGAGGAGAAACATAATTAAACATAGAAAATATACATTTTAACATGTTTGTTGGTTATATAAACTAATAACAGTATGTTTTACAAGTTCTTTTTTTTTGGAATAATGTAACTGGCCAGTGTGTTAAATACATGTACCTTTCACATGTACATTTGTATCTATTGTTTCAGTATTTTGAGAAAGGTGTTTAAATAACAAACAAAATTAGTATATTTTTATTTATTTATATTAAACACTCACAATCAGTTTTGGTCATAATATGCCACCATGAACAAAGAAAACAGAGTGGGATGATGATTACAAACAAATAGGTAACAATTTGACAGTGATGGACAGACCAAGCACAAAGTTCTTCTCTAACTGTCACAAGATGAATAAATATTATGTTACAGCATCATTGCAATTATATTATTATTGTTGCAATCTCAATTTCCAACTTTTTTCTTATACTTTAATCTTAAATAATGGTTTTGAAAGAAAAAAATGATTTCATTACCTTAAGTTTGTGATTTGTTATTCTGATGAACTGGAACACAGAGTGTGTAACTTGTGCAATAAATATATTCAAACTGATATAAAACTGTTATATTATTAAGATGTTTAAAAGAAGTTATAATTTTAAGGTTTTGCCTTCTTGATAATAGCAGCAAGACTAAAACAAGTTAGTCTAGAACAGGTAATAATAATTTTAGCCTCCATTGATATTCACTCTACTTTACTTTACTTACTGATAAGCCACATGGCTTAAGGAATAAATAAACAAACTTAGAAATAGGATGTGAGTCATTTTGTGAAAATTGACAAGGCATTGGACTAAATGTACAAGACAAATAATTACTTTTTCTTCCAGACATTATTCAATAGGCATACAAACTTCCTCACACCAGAATTGCATATGAAGTCAGATTACATAATTTATTAATTGGGGGAGAGGGGTTACATTCGTTGGGTGCTGTCAAAAATCTGTTCTCTGTTGTCTTGGACATTCTGAAAATAATAAATTTTCCTATGATAATCAATGATCATAAGTATACATGTATGTATATTTCTTTAAAAAACATTTTTTTTTTTGCTGTTATTACTAGTATACTTTAATTCTTTTATGATTAACAGTGACTTAATTTAAACCAGTGATAAACAATTATTGCAAGTCACTTTTTTTTTGCTCAATCTAAGCTTTCTTGATGCATTCTCTGAATGTACAAAATAAATCTTCTAAAACAGAAGATAATATGTCAACCACACAAACACTTCAAATGATATATTTTTATCATTAAAAGATATTCCTATTTGCATTTACCTTAATTTGAAAAAAAAAACCTTTTAAGATGCATGAAGTTTCAAAAATACTTATACAAATATACAAATTGGTGAGAGCAATTCAATATGTATCATGATTATCTGACCTTGACCTCACTATACCCCTTTTATATTTTTATCAAACTTCATGAAAAGATACCTATTATACATCTAGAAAATGCAAACAATCAAGAAATTTTCTGACAATTATTGATGCTATGTACAGGAATCGTTATTTTTAATTCGGAAATTTATAATTTATCCATACTTGGTTTTCCATTTTATATTTTTCAAAATGGCTGCACACATGTGTTTCAACACCCTCGGATCTGGGAAGCTGAAATAATTGTAAAAAAAAAATACAGAGATCCAGTTAGCAGTCAAAGGTAATATAGTGAAACAAAAGAACATAACAAAATGGAAAGAAAGAGAGTATGAGTTTATACAGAATGCGTCTATATGTCTTGTTTTTATTTTATATACACCTGACGTTTTCTGGCCAAATATTTATTTGCTTGCCATGCTAAATATATACATTTTTTAATTTCCTTTAATTATCGACGACATTTATCATAAAACTGGGTCTATTTTTGTCCACTGCTTGTTTCTTTTAACAGAATTGGATCAAAACAAGGGCATACAGTTATATCAGTCTATTATTTCATAACTTCTGTCAACATCAGTATTTTCCCTTTTATTTCAAATTGAAGAGTTAGGGATCAATTGTAACAGACTAGGGGTTGAGGTTTATGAACAAAATCTGTTTGGACCATACAATATATATATATATATATATATATATATTTTAATTTTTGACTTCTATTAAAGTGGCATTTTTGTAGCTGGTTCATAGGGAAAAACTCTGCAATATAAAATATTTTTACTACACAACTTACTAGTTGCACTTAATATCATTTATTGTCTGGTAAATGGTCAGACAATTATCGGACACATAATTGTGACATGAAAACACTATTCCTTCAATTAGAATCAATAAATTTATATCATTTATTGTACGCTGTTCAGAGAAGATGAAAGAAATAAACCACCTCTTATAAATGGACAGAGGTGAGGCAAGATTCACTGTCTTTTCAGATTTAATCGGACATATCTTTCCATCTGACATTTCAAGAATGAAGTTGCAGAAGCTGCAGAGTCACCTTGAAGGTATTGATGAGTTTGACAATCCTAAGATTTTATTGGAGCAGTATCCCACATCTCCACATATTGCTGCCGTCATGCTGCATGAGATCCAGCTTAAGTTTGGTGACATAGCTGGCTGCAGTGTCCTTGACCTTGGTTGTGGATGTGGTATTCTGACTATTGGTTCCGTGATCCAGGAAGCAGCATATGTCTTAGGGATTGATGTAGATAAAGAGGCCTTGGAAGTTTGTCAGAGAAACTTAAATGAGTATGAAATTTCAAATGTGGATCTGCTTCAACAGGACATTGTAAATATTTTGCCAAAAGACTTGAAAGATTCAAAAAAAATTTTATCTAAAAAATTTGACACGGTGATAATGAATCCTCCATTTGGAACTAAGAAGAACGCAGGCATTGACATGGATTTTGTGAGAGCTGGTCTGATGATGTCAACAAATGCTGTCTATTCTTTACACAAATCAACAACCAGGGAACATTTGTGCAAAAAAGCCCAGGACTGGGGAGTATCCATTGATTTCTTGGGACAATTTGAGTTTAATATTGCAAAAACATTCAAATGCCACAAAAAGAAAGAAGCTGATATTGAAGTTGATTTTGTGAGATTTGGACATAAAAATAAATAAATTCTTGTGTAGTCCAATATAGTGAGTTAGTGTGATTTACTTGCTATATTAGTAACTTAGTATTGTGATAAAACATGAACAATACAGACATTTTTGTGCATTTTAACAATCCAAAGAAGTTTGTCAGTGTTTTTTGTTATCTTTTGCATAGAAGAGTAAAGTACAGTAATTTTTTTTCCAGAATTTGTGTATTTACTGGAGTATTTTTTACTAAACCAGTAATGACAGCTAATATACACAGTAATAGGTATATATACTGATCAAAGACAGAAATTTATTACAAAATGAAGATCCAAATGTAAAGAAGAAAGCAAGTTCAGCAGTAAAACATTTACTTCTAGAATATCTAGGTGACATCAAAACGTGAGACATATAACAGTTAATATTGTTTCCATTGACATTGATCAGCAGACTTTAGGGAAGACAAATCTTTCCTTAGCTTGCACAATAAATAACTTGGAATATAAATACAGTGAATATTTTTTTTTATTTTGTGTTGAAAGGGTACTAAATGCCTTGTTTATTCAAAGCAATGCTGTTGTATAAAGTCCATAAAAATATAAAGATACGTACTGTATGATTGCTTATTATGAACCTTTTATATTGAATTTGATAACTTTTTTAATATTATCTGCATTTGAAAGCCAATGATAAAAATTGAGTAAAATGAAATATTTAACCCAAGAGAATGTTCTGCAAAACAAAATCAACTGGAAGGTTGTACAGTATTTTTCCTGGCTAATATTCCTCAATTTTTGTGACGTACTTATTATCATGATTATTTTTCCTGACAGAAGCAATTCTTAAGGTCTGACACCAAGTTATTATGCATATGCAGCGTTTTTTTCCTTATATAACTGGTACTGATAAACGGTACCATTCCCAATGCAAAAAAAAACGTTAATTTTTCCCAATTCTGAGACTAAAAATTCCCAATTCAACTTCCAAGCAACAGACTACAATGACATCGTATTTCTTTTTATATGAAGCATTGTACAAGTTGACTAATTGGTTTACTTCCGCTTACATCGAAAGTAGAGATTAGTCGTAATATGGCAGGACCTGTGGTGTAGACAGTGTAGTGTCATACATTTTGACAAATTGAAAGCATGAAAATGCGAAAACAAGGGACATTGACATGAAAAACAATAAATACTTGTTGTTTATTCTTTAAACCATGGAGTAATAGGTAATGAGGTTTAAATAAATGCCAAATATGTTTCATTTGTTTAAATGTCAGAAAATTCTCTTTGGTCTACTTCGATGCTATTTTTCCCAATTGAACTGGTACCGGACCCTTTCCCAATGGGTAGAAAAAAATCGCTGATATATTCACTGATATGACAAATAAGTCTAAGAATCTTGTTTTGAATGACATTAAACAGCAAAAAAAAAATGTTAACAGGGTAGTGTTCAGCATTGCCTTTATACTCATATGGGAGTGGAGGATAGCATTTTGTGAGCTCAGTGTTCACAGTGTCTCTAGTTGTAGATAGGCACAGGTGGAAAACTCTTAAGCACTCATTATAATAAATGTATGTAAATGCTTAATGCAGAGCCTAGAAAAATATCAGTTAACAAAAAATCAAACAAATTCTCACCAGAAATGTAAAGCAAAACACAAAGAGATCTTAAATCTTTAAAATGATCAGTGAATTTTGTCAGTTCATTTTAATGTGCCAAGTCTTGAAACTTTTTTTTTTGCAGTCTAAATATGAATTTCAGGCAGAATTTCTCGTATGATTGAAGTGAGGTCATCATGGACTTTGACCCTGAATCTTGGGAGTCAAGTGCAGAAACAGATAGATTAAACCAGGATCTGTTTGGAAAGCATCGCCTTTCTCCCAAAAAAGTAAGTTACAAAGATTTCATGATGTTGTGCACATATCCCATGAACTTTATGCTTTTATTTGTGTGTCATTCCTCTACGGCACCTGATCCCACCTCTGATGTTTTTGGAGATCCTGCTCCTGATTTGTATTGTTTTAATGGACATTGAGTTTGAACACTGTTTGTTATCTCCATATTTCATTACAATCTGTAGGGAAAAGACCAGAAAAGGCAGATGAAACAGAGGATAGGAGGAGACACAGATGAGTATGAAGCAGCTGAGAAGATGTCTCATGTAAAGAAGAAGGGGAAGAAAAGAAAACATGAGGCTACCAGCAGTGATGACATTTCAACCAAGAAAATGAAGAACATGGTAGACATTGAGGGTTCTATGTCTGAAGGATTCAAGATCTTAAAAACCAAAAAGAAGGGAAAGAAAAGCTGTGATGCTGTCAACAGTGATGGTAATTCTAAAACAGTGAAAGAGGGAGTAGGGAATATGGATTTTGTGTCTGAAAATACTATAAAATCTAACACCAAGAGGGGAAAGAAAACAAAACATAAATCAGTTTTCATGGATGGCAATGCTACGACAAAGAAAAGGAGTGTAGAAAATATGGATACTGTGTTAAAAAGCAATGATTCAGAAACAAGAGGGGAAAAGAAGAGAAAAAACAGGAATAATAAAAACAAATTCAAAACAGAAAGTCCTCTGACACAAAATCCTGGTGGGAAAAATTTCCAAAAGAGAGACATTAAAGAAAAAATTCCCTGTGATTCAAATGTGACATTAGTAACTCATGAAAATGTTAGTAAAACCCAGAAAACTGATGAAAATCTAAAAGGCAAAAAGGTTAAACATTTACATGAGGCACTGCCAATAAGTGTTTGTGATGTCACCGAACAAACTAGTCAAGAGATAGAAAAGTTAGAGTCCAGTGATAGTAAAGGTAACAGACTTGCAGAGGTCAAAGGGAAGAAGAAAATCAAACCAAAAGCTGACAGCAGCAGGCCTCGGAGGTCAAAACATAGTGACATCACAAGCAAGGAACAAGATTCATTAATCACTGTTTCAAGGAGTTCTAATAGAAAGGTGAAGAAAAAGACATTCAACACAGCTATACTGTCAGGTATTTTGGCTGCAGATTCGGAATCAAAGAAGGTGAAAAGTAAAGATAAACTTAATGAAATAGGTAAAAAGGAGGATATGTCTGAACCTCAAGCAAAGAAAAAGAAGAAAAAGAAAAATAACAAAATGGAGGAACACCCTTCTGAGAAAGAATGTTCTCCCACGTCTCTCTCACTAAAGGAGGAAAATCCCCCGAAGCCTCAGTCCCTCAAGGAGAGATTGATGGAGCAGCTGAACTCTGCCCGGTTCCGTTACATCAATGAGCAGCTGTACACACACTCAGGTCAGGAGGCCCAGGAGATGTTTGCTGAGGATGAAGAGGCGTTCCAGGTCTACCATCAAGGCTTCCAGACCCAGGTCAACAAATGGCCGGTCAATCCAGTGGACATGATCATACAGGATATAAATAAACTGTAGGTATTTCAAAATTTTAAAAATATATGAAAAATCTAAGGAGTAATGAATGTTGACATAGTACATATATTTATGTCTTGTTAAAATATAAACAGGGTATAAAAAGTACATATGGTATCTTCTCCAAGATTAAATCAATCTCTTTCCAATTTGTTTTTAGACCTCGTAACAAAGTAGTGGCTGACTTTGGTTGTGGAGATGCTAAAATTGCTAGAGGTGTTCCACAGAAAGTGCACTCATTTGATCTGGTTGCACTGAATGACCACGTTACAGCATGTGATATGTCTCATGTAAGCTAATGACAAGTATAACCAAGTCCTCAATAAGGGGGCAATGTCCTGTGAAACTGAACCTTGATCTGCAATACTTCTATGTGCAGTAGAGAGCCAGTTCACATTCCAGTATCTCAAAAATAAAATGTGTAGTCCCCCCCCCCTCCCCCAAAAAAAAAAAATAAAAAAAAACTGGAAATGGATTTTTCATTTCTGTTCATTTGATGAGGGGTTATACCTTCAATAAGAAGGTGAAATGACACAAAATTTAAATTTGACCTGTAACTTTGCCATATTGTACCAAATTTTTAATGCAATACATCTGAACTCAACAGTGCACCAAATCCCCCAAGTTTTACCCAAAAATCATTTTTGAAGCAAAGATAATAGAAAACCTATAGTGCCCCATGCAGTTTCAGCAGTTGGGGAGTTAATTATGATGTATCATTGCCTTGTTTCAGGTTCCCCTTGACAGTGGAAGTGTGGATATAGCAGTTTTCTGTCTCTCCCTAATGGGGACGAATCTCACAGATTATCTGGCTGAGGCCCAAAGAGTTCTTAAAATGGGGTAAGGAAAAAAAAGACGGATCTGACAATTCTGGCCTAAAATATCAGAGAGGCTGGTTATCAACCACAAAAAAGAATAATGGCAAAATATACACATGCTTCAAAGTGTTTTGCATTATATGATTTGGAGTCAATATTTAACTTTTGCCTCTTTCCCCTACCTAGTTCCCCATTTTGATAGGCACAGAAGAAGATTATTTTTCTGATCCATAATGATAATGATTAGTTTGAAATCTTTGTAGTTTTGTTAAGGAAAAAATTAATATGTTCAAGAATTAACATTGAAATATTTGGATTTTTGTTTAGGTTCAGTACAAATGGACATCAAATAATTGTCCTCCACTTTTGTGAATGTGTGGCGACATCTGTTCACCCATCTGTCTGTCTGTTACAAACATGTTAACCTTGGTCATAACTTTTGAATGAGAGAAGATGAGGCTTTCAGAATTTCACAAGTGTATTACTTGTGACAAGACCCTTTAGGACACATTATAGTTTTCATGACTTGACATCAAAGTTTGACCCTACTTTTCAAATATTTTAATAATAACTTTTAAAGAAGATGGGGATTACATATTTCACATATGTGCTTTACTTTTGACAAAAGCTTTTTGAAAGCACTTTTGAATTTTGACCTACTTTTCAAAAGTTTCAATCTTGGTAATAACTTTTGAATTAGAAAAGATATGGATTTCATATTGCATATGTGCATTACCCTGTGTAAAGTCCTTTCCAAACATACTAAATTTTTTTACCTCCAGACCTTGACCTTTGACCTACTTCTCAAAAATATCTTTGGTCGTAAATCTTGAATGAGAAGATAGGGCTTTTGTATTCTTAAATGTGCAATACATGTACTATGATTTTTGAGCTCATGACTTAGACTTCCAAGTTTGGCTTTCTAAGACTTTATTTTGACTGTAACTTTTGCACAAGATCATATTACATGTACTTCAAAAATATAAAAACTTCTTTTAGTATGATGGACAGACAAGACACTTACAAAAAGTAGATCACTGCATCAAAACCAAAACCAATAAGACCCCAAAAGCAGTGACCACAATTCTACATATTTGCTTGTTCTTTTTTTGGTAAAGTTTTAGTGCATTAGTAGTGCAACTTTCTTTATCAGAAATTGGAAATTGGGGGGGGGGGGGGGGGTAATACAATTCAAGTTTTTTTTTAGCTCACCTGAGCAAAAGGCTCAAGGGAGCTTTTGTGATCAAATTTTGTCTGTTTGTTGTCATAAACTTTTCACAATTTCATCTTCTCCAGAACCACTGGGCAAATTTCAACCAAACTTGGCACAGAGTATTATTGGGTGAAAAGGATTTAAGTTTCTTCAAATGAGAGGCCATGTTCTCTCTCAAGGGGAGATAATTAAGAATTAAGGAAAATTTAATGGCATCTTTTAATTATAATCTTTTCAAGAACCACAGGGCCAGAAAAAAAAAAAACTTATCTGAAAACTTCATTACATAGTGTTGATTCAAGTTGTTCAAATCATGACCCCCAGGGGTAGGATGGAGCCACAATGGGCAATCAAAGTTTTACACATAGGAATATATATAAGTGAAATCTTTAAAGATCTTCTTCAACAGACAGATGTCGAACACCCTTTTTTTTTTTCAAAAAAGGTCACGTCTTTGGCTCAGGTGAGCAAAAAATCTCTTCCAGAATAACAGGGCTTTATTGATCGTATCGATATTGAAGCATCCCAAGGACTAGGTTTTGGTCCACAATATGAAGTTGAATTTTTAGGAATTAAAAAAAATTGGGTGATGAAGAACAGCTGGGTCAAAGTTACTCAGGTGAGCACTGTGGCCAGTGGACCTCTAGTTTACAGCTAATTTCTCTTTAAAGGTGCTTAGACACAGATTTGAAGTTAATATTTTCTCAAAATTTCTGTATAATATCACGACTTATATATTGCAATAGCATTTCACACGAAAATATAATTAAAAACTTATTTTATCTGGAAATTATTGGAACTACGAATTCCTTGACGCGTTTGATTAACACATCCTTGCACTTTCACAAATTTTATCTTTATCCTTAATATTTAAGAAAAGAAGCGATTTTGCTTTGTATTAATGAAAAACATTACATCTATAATCCAGAAAATTCAGAGTAGAAATGTGCGAAAGCAAACCCCCTCACTAATATCGTCAGCCTGTGCTCAGTGTTGTGTACAGAGTTTAACAAATTGAATACACCCGTGAAACGTAAACTGTTTCTGTAAACAGGGCACAAGCTCTGTTATTGTTAATGTTTATGATTCACCGGGTGTGTTCAATTGTTAAAGTCTGCACACACCACTGAGCACGGACTGACAATATTGTGAGTGGGTTTTGCTTTTGAACATTTCTACTCTGAATTTTCTGGATTATAGTTTTAATACTTTTCATTAATACACAACAAAACAGCCACTTTTCTTAAGTATTAAGAATAAAATTAAAAATTGTGAAAGTGCAAGGATGTGTCAATCAAATGCGTCCAGAAATTTGAAGTTTCAATAACTTCGAGATGAAATAAGATTTTTATTATATTTTAGTATGAAATGCTATAGCAACATATAAGTCATGAAATTATACAGAAAATCTGAGAAATATTAACTTCAGATCTGTGTCCAAGCACCTTTAATACATGTAGCCTCTCTTTTTAAAGATTTTTTTCATATGTTTTCCAGGGGGCGTCTGAAGATTGCTGAGGTGGCCAGTAGATTCCAAAGTCTTCCTCAATTTCTAATTAATATTGAACAGTTTGGCTTTTACCAAGAGTCAAAGGTAAAACTTGTGTAGATATGTACATCTTTGTCACTAATTAGTCTGGTTTCCTGTCTATCTCCATCCTTTACTTTGAAATAACCAATTTTTGTGGGGGTTAATTTTTATGGTCTTTGGTTTGAAGAGATCAAATTCCCACAAACCAGCGTTTCCCTCAAACCATGAAAATTTGACCCCATGAAAGCAAGTGATTTTAAGGTGTTTTATCTGTCATAAATATTTTAAATTCTCAGCTTCCTCTCTTAAAGTGAACTATTCTTTTTGTATACTTGCAAGTACATGTAGTATGATTGAGATAGGGGGAACAAAAATTATCCACTTCAAGGACTTTGCCTAGCTGAGGTTTAACCCCCCCCACCCCCCCCACCCCCAGTTAGATGTGCAGTCTTTTAAATCTGCTCATTCATTTTCTGTTACATTGTACTGAAATTTGTTAATTGCTATATATATCTGTTCTTTTTGTTGACAGGATACATCTAACAAGATGTTCTACTTGTTTAATTTCAAGAAAACAGGAAAACCAAAATCCAAACTTCCAGCTGTGACTCTTCAACCGTGCATGTACAAGAAAAGATAGCACAGAATAAAATCCTTATATAAAATCATTTTATTTATCACTCATTAATAAATAATGTAAAAACAAAACAAATATTGTTTTCTATTTTATTAAATGTCCATATCGTCAATATCATCTCCCTTTGGATTCAGGAAGTCAGTGACCTTCACACCAGTTTTGTTGATGGCCATGATGGGTTTCATGGCGGCCATCATGCTGTTGTACAAATTTGGAAACAAAATTTCTTGGGCTGCCAGTAACTGTTTTGTTCTGTGTCTCTCCTGTGAATGGGAATGAATATCACATCAATTTTGTTTTAATATCTGTTACAATACTAATATTTAATGGATGCAATATTATTAAGGTAAAGCTTCACATGCATGTAAATAGCTGAGCTATGATGAAAGTTTCAGTAAATAAGCTTACAACTCCATCCAAATAATGTTTAATTTAAAATTACAGGAGTATTTGTTGGAATCTTTAATTATATAATGTTGAAGAAACTGTCAAAAAAAAAAAGAATGAAGAGATACAAGTATAAATAAATTATTAATTACCTTTGGTGCTTCAAAACAGGCAGGACAATTTTCAGCAATAACTGGTAATTTATTCTGTAAAGAAGTTTGGGTATTAAGATCAGGACTCTGAATCATTTTTACTGATCAAACCCTCATGTTCTTTCAATATTTGGTTGTAAAAATTGGTATGGAATTGCTCTTATTTAAAATAAGTACCTTTTCTGCAAAAAGTCGTAGATCCTTCTCTCTGACATACACAAATGGTCTTATAACCCTCAAATCCCCTTCTCTGGAAAAAAAAGATCATCAACATTATTTTCTAAATAATGCAACTTTATTTATTCAAGTTTGCAACAAAAAGTAAACAAAATGTAACTTTCAAAGGAATTAAATTATATATTTCTACAAGTAAACCATTTTGTAAACTTCAAAAACTTACTCCACATCATAGTGAGCTTTCATCGTTCTCAGGATCCCATTGTGGAAAAATGACATCAAGAAGCTGTAAATATAAATAAACTGTCAAGGGTATAGCTAAAAGAAGTGGGTAAGGTGTCAAAAGTACAGCTAGAGAAAGGCTAATTGGGTAAGGTGTCAAGAGTATAGCTAGAGGAAGGCTAAGTAGGCAAGGTGCCAAGAGTATAGCTAGATGGAGTGGGTACGGTGTCAAGAGTGTAGCTAGAGGATGGTTAAGTGGGTAAAGTGTCAAGAGTATGGTTAGAGGAAGGCTTTAGTGGGTAAGGTGTCAAGAGTATAGCTAGAGGAAGTGGGTACAGTGTCAAGAGTGTAGCTAGAGGAAGGTTAAATGGGTAAGGTGTCAATAGTATAGCTAGAGAAAGGCTACGTGGGCAAGGTGCCAAGAGTATAGTTAGATGAAGTGGGTAAGGTGTCAAGAGTGTAGGTAGAGGAAGGTTAAATGGGTAAGGTGTCAAAAGTATAGCTAGAGGAAGAGTAAGTGGGCAAGGTGTCAAAAGTATAGCTAGAGGAAGGCTATGTGGGCAAGATGCCAAAAGTATAGTTAGGTGAAGTGGGTAAGGTGTCAAGAGTGTAGCTAGAGGAAGGTTAAGTGGGTAAGGTGTCAAAAGTATAGCTAGAGGAAGGCTAAGTGGGCAAGGTGCCAAGAGTATAGCTAGATGAAGTGGGTAAGGTGTCAAGAGTGTAGCTAGAGGAAGGTTAAGTGGGTAAGGTGTCAAAAGTATAGCTAGAGGAAGAGTTAGTGGGCAAGGTGTCAAGAGTATAGCTAGAGGAAGGCTATGTGGGCAAGATGCCAAAAGTATAGTTAGGTGAAGTGGGTAAGGTGTCAAGAGTGTAGCTAGAGGAAGGTTAAGTGGGTAAGGTGTCAAAAGTATAGCTAGAGGAAAGCTAAGTAGGCAAGGTGCCAAAAGTATAGCTAGATGAAGTGGGTAAGGTGTCAAGAGTGTAGCTAGAGGAAGGCCAAGTGGGTAAGGTGTCAAGAGTGTAGCTAGAGGACAGCTAAGTGGGCAAGGTGCCAAGAGTATAGCTAGAGGAAGTGGGAAATGTGTCAAGAGTATAGCTAGAGAAAGGTTAGTGGGTAAGGTGCCAGGGTATGGCTAGAGGAAGTTGAAGTGGGTATGGTGTCAAGAGTAAAACTAGAGGAAGTGGGTAAGGTGACAAGAGTGTAGCTAGAGGATGGTGAAGTGGGTAAGGTGTCAAGAGTGTAGCTAGAGGATGGTGAAGTGGGTAAGGTGTCAAGAGTGTAGCTAGAGGATGGTGAAGTGGATAAGGTGTCAAGAGTATAGCTAGAGGAAGGTTTAGTGGGTAAGGTGCCAAGAATATGACTAGAGGAAGGCTAAGTTGGTAAGGTTTCAAGGGTATAGCAAAAGGAAGTTGGTAAGGTGTCAAAAGTATGGCTAGAGGAAGGTTAAGTGGGTAAGGTGTCAAGAGTATAGCTAGAGGAAGTTTACAAATTCATGTTGTGAGTTTTTCAAATTTATTTCTAAAACTGTGTAACACATTTAACTCAAACATTATAGACTTCCCATGTAGGGAGAGGGCGAAATAAGTTTTAAGAACTTGTGCCCAATCCCATTGTATATATATTGCAATAAAATATGTTCAATTCAGAGGAAGTTTAGTGGATAAGGTGCAAGAGTATGGCTAGAGGAAGGTTAAGTGGGTATGGTGTCAAGAGTAAAGCTAGAGGAAGGATTAGTGGATAATTTGGCAAAAGTATGGCTAGAATTCTGAAGGTTAAGTGGGTAAGGTGTCAAGAGTATGGCTAGAGGAAGGCTAAGTTGGGAAGATGTCAAGAGTATAGCTAGAGGAAGGTTAAGTGGGTATGGTGTCAAGAGTATAGCTAGAGGAAGGCTAAGTGGGTAAGGTACCAAGAGGAAGGCTACATGGATAAGGTGAAAAAAAAGAGTATGGCTAGAAGAAGGCTAAGCCTGTAAGGTGCTAAGATTATGGCTAGAGGAAGGCTAAGCCAGTAATGTGCCAAGGGTATGGCTAAAGGCAGACAAAGCTGCTAAGGTGCTATGAGTATGGCTGGAGGAAGGCTAAAGGAAGACTAAGCTGCTAAGGTGCTATGAGTATGGCTGGAGGAAGGCTAAGAAGTTAGGTAAGCTTCTTTAATCATGCATGTAGTTTGATACGGATGTGGATTGAGAGTAATTGTCAAGTATATAAGGGAGCAATAAACACCCTGGTGACTTATAGGAATACAGTATATGTACATGTATTTACATGTAAACTACATGTATGTAAAATTCTTGTTATTTCATGTAAGCATCCCTATGTAGTGCAGATTCAGGGAACATGTTAATGTAAATCGTGACTCTGGGCCAGGAAGAAGCCACAACAGAGTTCATGGTTTAACATACATGTAAGAATAAGACAACCTGAGAAAGAACGTTTATTTTGTAAACATATTGACTCATTCAAACACCATATGTATTGAGTAACCCATGAAATTACGTCCCTACAAACAAGTAAAATTCTGCTTGCCCATGAACATTGACTCCCACAAATTAAAATGATTCAACAGTATTTGGTCAGACAAAAACGGAAATGAATCATATTTACTGGAATAAGACATTTAACTTCATTGGGGGCCATAAGAATGGATCTGATTTCACATTTGACAGAGTGCAGTGTAACATAGGAGAGTATTATACCAAAGGGCCTCTTCCTCCGATTACCATTTACCTTACATCTACAGTGTATGGTTTTAACCTATCTATTATCGTATATACTCGCCTATAATTCGGTCCGCCTATAAGTCAGTTGTATTTTTTAAACTTAAATTAGAGGGATTGACCTGCTAAAATACCAATCTTTTTATAACTTGTGTATAAATCGGATAAAGAGTTTTGGACCTAAGTTAATTTCCCAAAAAATGACTTATAGGAGAGTATACACGGTAATCTTATAAGATACAAAACAAATATTCTGAACTTTAAGAAAATAATTTCATAGCTGATTACTGTTCTGAAGAATTGTTAACTTCCTGTACATGATGAAGTACTGTAGATTCCTTATTTTTCGCGAGTACTTATGATCGCGAAATGGCTCTTCGACGTCAAATCGCGAGAACAATAATTTGCGAAAGGCCGGTTGATCAAGGGATTTTACATTGATTTTAGCACCATAAAAATAAAAAGCGAGTAATTTTATTTCGCGAGTAGTGCTTCTTGCGTAATGAGGCAATAATTAATTCCTCACGTATATTTAGGAATCTACAGTATTCACTCATCATACTGTACCTTTCACACAAGTCATCCAAGTGTTGTCCTAATGCATGAACATTGTAGCCATTTTTTCTGGCACAAGCATAAATTCTGCCTCGCTTCATTCGACTACAAAAACTGCAGATTGATGCACAATTCTCCAGGCTCTTGGCTTGGTCCATGATACCTTTTACATGTATGATAATGGTTAAAACATGACTTAGAATTCACAAAAATGTATGTGTACTTTGATTTAACACTTGCACAAATTTTAATACTCACATTGCGACTCATAGAAGTATGGCACATTTAGACTGGCCAGATACTGCTTGAGAGGACTAGGGTCATAAGAGGGGGTTTGAGGATCTACAGTAACAGCTCCAAACTCAAAAGTCAGTCCCTGTCATTCAGTACAAAAATCAAACTCAGGAGCATATACTTTTAAGAGTAATATTGTATGACAATAACTTTGTACATGTACACATGCTCTAGCTTAACAACAGAGAGGATTATTCATCTGTCTCTTACCTTGGCTTTACAGTAGAACTGATATTGTCTGATGGTGTGCAATAGAGACAAAGAATCTTTTCCACCAGACAGACAGACCAACACACGATCTCCATCCTTTAGCATGCTGTAATCCTCAACACCCTGTAGATAAAAAGATTTGATTTTACAGAGACTGTACCACAAAAGAAGACTCCACTAAATATAACAAGGGCCACAATACTCACTTGTGTCAGTAATGGCTTTGCTGTATTCATCAACAGTTTTTTTTTTCTATATATTCAAATGTAAAACTTTTGATTTCATATTGTGGCCCCAGTCTACTCCCAGGGGCCATCATTTTAAACAAACTTTAATCTACTCTACCTGAGGATGCTTCCATATTAATATGACTAGTTATGGCTCTATACTGTTCTTGAGAAAAAGATTTTTTAAAGATTTTTCATATATACCTATGAAAAAGTTTGATCCCCTGTTGTGTCCTCACCCTACATTGAGGGTCATGATTTGAAAAAAAAAATTGAATCTACACTACCTGAGGATGCTTCTATATTAAAATGACTAATCATGACTGCTATTCTTGAGAAAAAAATTTCAAGATTTTTCATATATAATCTTATCTAAAACTTTGATCCCCTGTTGTGGCCTTACCCTACTCCCAGGGTAACAATTTGAACACTATATTTTACTTCATCAAAGCATACCTTAAGAAATTTAGTGAAGATAGTTTTGGGAGGAGAGAACCATTTGCTAGCTGGAGATTTCTTTGTAGAAGAACCCTTTGCTTTATTGACACAAGTCTTTGTGTTTTGTCTGTTACTTGTATGATCTGACATTGATCGCTTGGTCACTTCTGTCTTTTCATGCTTTATCTGTTTGGAATCTGAACAAGCACCATTCAAGGAAGACACATCAGTAGCTTTGTCCTGTAAATCTCTTTTTCTAGAAGTACAGATGAGAGGGCACACATTATTTATTTCTGAATTTCTGTCATTTAAATCCTCTCCTTCTCTTTCTGTAGAATTATCAATCTGTGTTTTTTCAGAGTTCAAATTAAGTTCATCTTTATCACAGCCTGTGGGTTTAGTTGTGCTTTCGGAATCACATTTCACTTTTTCACTGTACTCTCTCTCCAAATCCTGAACGAGTTTCTCTGAGAATTCACTATGTTGTGACATCTCTGACTGGTTTAATGTTGCTGGGGCATACACCACGCCATCCTTCTTCATTACCTCCAATACAAAGGGAGGTAGCCCAAGCTTGTCCCTGAGGGAGGGAGGACAAAAAGGCAGCTGGGAGGAGAAGTTGGGGACAGTATGCCCAGACAAAGTGTCTGCTGCCTCGCTAGGCAACAGGAACCAGCGGTACTTTTTAGCCTGGTCATCAAACATGTGAGTATGATCAGGCAACTGATATTTTGTCTGAAATAAGAATATACATTGTAGTTGTCAAAACTTTCCCCCCTTTGCAAAAATTTATAAAAAATCATACCTAGTCTGGTGGAGCCACTGTCATGGTTATTATCAATTATGCTGAATTCAAAATCTTTATTGTACTAACCTTCATAGCCTGTCTGAGGAGTTCTTTGGACTTCTCCAAGCAATCCTACGTGCAAATCAATGTTAGATGTTAATTGAAAAGTGCTCTAGTACTATCTATAAGCACAGATATTATCATCATGTGTACACATTTTATATAAAATAGATTTTGATTATGCAAAACCAAAACAATAAAAAAAAATGACTATATTACATGTACATGCATCACAAATTATAAAAAATAGCAGCAATATTAGAGTAAAATCTTACTTTATAATCAGTAGGGAGGGGCCCTTTGACAATATGTGGGGGGACTTTGTAGGACATCTCTCCTGATCTGTAGGAAATGTGATCCAGCCACTTTCTATCTTTGAACACCTGGAAATCTTTCTGTCGCCACTCTCCAGTCTCAGGGTTAAACATGTACTGTCAATTATACCCACAAACATCAAGCAGCACCAACATTTTAACTGAACATGTAAAATTTAGATTCTATAAATACATTAATTAGTTAATGTTCCTCACATTCATGCTTCAAAGATGAAAGAAATTTCTTTTTTAACCAAAAAGCTACTGTTAAATGAATAAAACATGTATTTATCATTTACCGGTATTTCTTTTTGGAAAGTTTAGGAATATGTACTTGAGACCTTTCAACCTACAGCACATTTTTTTCCCTTAGAAACTCCCTATAATTACTTGCAATTACCGGTACATGAATACAAAGAAATGTGACAACACAAAATAGATTACTAAAATAGCTTTTCACATAAATAAATGGAAAGAGAAGGTTAAATATAAGATATGATTATCTTTTACTGTTCTGAAAACTACCTGGTACACACAATACATGCATGCATATATAAAATGTCATTATGCACTTTGCTCAAATTCTGTACTCTCCTTCGTCAAATTCTGTACTCTCCTTCGTCAAATTCTGTACTCTCCTTTGTCATTTATAGCATCATGAAGTATGAAAATAATCCTTCAATGTTTAAATGATTTGGAGAAGGAGAGGGAGGAGTGTCTTATCTCACCTGAGGCAAGAGCTTCCACCCTTCTTTTGCTACAATTCTAACTGCCTCCAAAACAAACTGAACTGTCTCCTCATCCATAAAATATGGAAGATTTATCCTGACAAAACCTGGTCTACAATCCAAATAATGATGTTACATTAAATTTGTCATAAAAAATTTAGTCCAGTCAATTTATCATGAATCATTAAACTAACTGCAACACAATTTCTTTTGCTATAAATAAATTCTAGAATGCACAAAATGAATGTAATAGAAACTGTAACAAAATCATATGAGGGGAAAGCATTATTTGGGATTCATAAATTTCTAGGAAAATTACTATAGGAAAGGGACATAACTCATGCCAATTTAGTAAATTTCGGTCAAAAGTTTCTTGCATTTTCATAACTTGAAGAAAGAGGAAGTGAATCAATCAATCAATCAATCAATGAACTGATCCCTGCATACTAAATCTTAATCCATGGAAAAAAAAATATTTTTTTAATTTTTTTTTTTAAGTTCTGTATTTACATGTAGTATCTCTTAAAAATGCTAATATTTCCAAATTATCAAAAAGTATGAAATTAAATTCAAAATATCTATATCAAATTTAAATTATCAATGTGAAATAATAATCTATCAAACTGTTTCAGAAAAATTTCGATCAGACTACGATTTCATGAAAAACAGAAATTTTCTTTTATTTTAATAAGCAAAATATTGGATGGATTTGCAGAGTTATGCCCCTTTTCTATAGTCATTCTCATACCTTATTTAATCAAATATTTTGTACATGTTAGATCTAATTTATGATAAAATAATCTATGTTCCAATTATTTTGAAGCTGGGCCTATTTCTCCACTAAATTGACTGGACAATTACAATTTGTGTAATTGGTAATGAATAAGACAAACTCCATTTCAAATCATGTTTTCCTATAAACACCACATAAAGTCTACCTGATAATCTCCCTGTGTGAATACTCTATATCCCCTTAAATGTGTCAGATCTACACCCTGTAAAGTCTACCTGATAATCTCCCTGTGTGAATACTCTATATCCCCTTAAATGTGTCAGATCTACACCCTGTAAAGTCTACCTGATAATCTCCCTGTGTGAATACTCTCTCTATCTCCTTAAGTGTGTCCTATCTACACCATATAAAGACTACCTGATTATCTCCCTGTGTGAATACTCTATAGCTCCTTAAGTGTGCCCTATCTACACCCTGTAAAGACTACCTGATAATCTCCCTGTGTGAATACTCTCTGTATCTCCTTAAGTGTGTCCTATCTACACCATATAAAGACTACCTGATAATCTTCCTGTGTGAATACTCTATAGCTCCTTAAGTGTGCCCTATCTACATCCTGTAAAGTCTACCTGATAATCTCCCTGTGTGAATACTCTCTGTATCTCCTTAAGTGCGTTCTATCAAGCCTTGTGTCCTCGGCTAAAAGATTCTCTATTTCAGTAGATGTCATTTCATCCAACCCTAGTAAATCCTGAAATGATGTGCAATTTTCTCTTTATAATTGGTACCCTAAACCCTTGAAGATAATTTGCAACTTGCATGTTTATCTATGTTAACTTTTTTGATAAAAAAAATTGGAGGTATATTTTAATGCTCAATTACAGTTAAACTTCGTTATCTCGAAGTTGACGGGACCGTTGATGAACTTCGAGATATCCGGGGGTTCGACATATCGAGGGTTATAATTCAAATGAACTTCAAATAAACTTAGTGAAGTGAACCTGTACTTGTCAAATTCCTTCTTGTTTGAAATTCTGTATACGATTTCTTTAATAAACATGTACATGTATTTAGCAATAAAAAGATTTTTACATCCTCTATATAATTCACAAAATAAAAAAAACTTTGTATAATATGCACATAAGTATGATCTTTCTACCAATGCGGCATGTCAACCGCTAGCATCGTTTCCCATGTATACATAACCGGATATCGTCTATGCATTGTAAATTTAAAACCGGTCGCTGTCAGAATAACGAAAACGAAATATACATTTTCTTTTATAAGAAAAACATGTTCATACATGTATAATCAGTTAAAAGAAAATTATTTTACCATAATAAAATCAAATGCAAAAGAAAAATCACACACTTTTGTCTAACAACAGAACAACACTGAATCACAGGACACTATAGCACAAGTTTTTACTGTGACACACGCTCACATGATGGTGTGTACGGACGATTGTAAATTCTGCACGCTCATAAAGGAAAAATAAATTCTAATTGCATTAAATTACAGAATTTTGCTTTACTTCGATGTTTATGATTTTCACTTTCATATGCATAAACTATGCATGCGCGCATATTTCACATAGCATTAAATAGCAATTATCAAGATAAACGTACCCAAGCCACAAAACAACGTGTCGTCCATGTGTATGCATTAGACCAATACACACAACCTTGGCTTGCATAATTACAATCAGGGTAAGCCATACATACACTTCGTATAATGATCGCGCTATTATTTGTTGATCACAGGAACACAGGTAACAATTGCGTGACAGACAGGTGGGTGTTATCAATAGAGCGTCCAGTTTACCTATCGGACTTGATCATCAGTGCGGAAAATTATCCTGACTTCGAGATAACGCATGTGATTTTAATGAATGGGTACACAATTTTACTTCGAGATAACCGGGGTATTCGACATTACCGTGTTCGACATAGAGGGGTTTATTTTAATCATTTATAAAGCAAATTTCGTTGGGACCACGGCCTTACTTCGACATATCCGGGGTATTCGAGATATCCGTGTTCGAGATTTCAAAGTTTAGCTGTACATATACAATGTACATGTATGTCGACAGACATGAGTGACATGGTTAGGGGTACATGTTATGATAAGAGGTACCATTGCATAGGGACCAGCACAGGCACACCCTCCTCTGGCCTGGATACCAAACAAGTCATTCAGCAGACTGGCCACATAGTTGTGGTGGAGAAATCTCCCAGACTCTGGGTTGTACACGAGGAACGAGAATACTGGAAGAGAGTTTTTATTTCCAGAGCCAAGTAACACTAGATTTTCACTGTCCTTCAATGCCTCAACAGCAATACTGAAAACATATAGTAAATTTTAAGATGGAATCCATAATCTGATTCATGATTTAGCAGAAATAAGCTTTAAATATTGAATTGTTACCTGCGAAGCATCTCTTCCTTCTCCATGATTGTCTGAGTTGACACGGCATTTTTGAGCTGGAACACCAGGCCAGCTCTGATAGACTCCACTATAGCGGGGGTTCCTCCCTCCTCACGAAACTCAGGCTCCTGTAGAAATCTATAGTTGTCCCTTCTCACCTACAATAGGATTATAATATACATGTACATGAATGTTTCATCTACAAAAGCATACTAATAGTACATCGTTTTCCACCTGTATCTATTTAAATCATCCTTTTCATTTTTTTCAATCTCATTTACAATTTAAAATTAAATCCTGTTGAACATTAAGACCATTGAGTGTAAAGCATGAAATGAAATTAACAAGATAATTTCCTACATAGAACACAGATCCCCCTCCACAGTTACTAGGTACTTTGTTTCTGAATAGTTTCTTCTTGGCAACCAGTATTCCTACAAGGAAATTAAATCTTACAAATATGTGATAAAGACCATTGTAACACATTTGAGAAAAATTGTTTGAGATAGATTTAAATACTTTTTAAACAGACCAAAAGAAATTTTAATAGAGAATGACAAGTTTCACATTCCACAACATATGCATGATTAAAATTAATTATCTTTCCTTTGCTGCAATGCCTCATGTAATTTTGTTATTTATACTTATACATGTACTGTACGCGGTGATATCATACAAAAAAAAAGAACCAGAATGAGTTACTCACAAAAGAGAGCATGGTGACCTCAAACACTAATTTTTATTTAACATTTAATTAATTCATACTTATCAATACATACCTGGCGTCTGAACTCCTCCAATGAATTTATGAGCTGACATGAAAATAGCATCCTTGTACACATATGGCTGGTCTTCACAACTAGAAAATTACAAAGATATTAAGAAATAATTAAGGTATATAGACTAGAAATTCTTTTTTAATTCTAAAATGTAAATCACCTTATGAAATAATTCATAGTTTATCATGGCACATAACAGTCTTTTAAGGTGATTCCCAGATGCCAAATATGCTTTGAACAAACTTTTATCTACACTAACTGAGGATGCTTCCATATTTCTTTGACTAATGATGGCTTTAGATACATGTATTTAATGGTATTTCCTATATAGTCTTATGTATAACTATGATCCCCTGTTGTAGTCCCATCCCATCCCTGGGGCTCATGATTTGTACATTAAATCTACACTATCTAAGGATGCTTTTGTATTAATATTACTACCTGGTAATCATTGATTTACTGTTCTTGAGAAGAAGATTTTTAAAGAAATTTCCTGTATGTTCCTGTGTATAACTTTGATCCCAGTTGTGGCCCCTGCATATCCCCAGGGGTCATGATTTGAACAAACTTGAATCTACACTATGTAATAAAGCTTTCACATAAGTTTCAACTTTTCTGGCCCAGTGATTTTTGAGAGGAAGATTTTTGAAAGATGTTTTTGATGGATGTTTTCATATAAATAAGATTAATCATGACTATGCTGTTCTTGAGAAGAAAATTATTAAAGATTTGTTCCTTTATACTCCTAAGTAAAGCTTGGAGCACCCATTGTGGCTCCACTCTACCCCCAGGGGTCATGAATTAAAAAAAAAAACTTGAATTTACACTATGTAATGAAGCTTTCACATAATTTCTTCTTTTCTGTTCCATTGGTTTTTGAAAAGATGCCATCTAATTTTTACAAATTCTTAATCATCTCCCCTTGAAGGAAGGTGTGGCCCTTTATTTGAACAAACTTGAATCCCCTTCACCCAAGGATACTCTGTGCCAAGTTTGATTGAAATTGGCCTGGTGGTTCTGAAGAAGATGTTGTGAAAAGTTGATAACAATAACAACAATGATAATTGACAACAGACAATGGACAAATTTGATCAGAAAAGCTTACTTGCATCTTCAGCTCATGTGAACTAAAAAGCAATCTTTTTTCAAATAAAACCTGCAAAATATTTGTCCATTTTTGGTCTGATCATAAATTTTTCTGCAAATGACCATGAAATTGCCAATTGACCATGGGTGAAGGTTGTGACACATTCTAGATTCAATGTAATCTTGAATTCAGCAGGAGTTTCCAAAGTTTCTCTGTTCAAAAGTTTTAGTCTTGTAATGATTGCATGGAAAGAAAGGCAAAGAATGATTCTTATATTTCCCTTCAAACTTGGTTTCAAAGAGTAAAATAATGAGAGTCTTCCTACCTAGTTAACACAGGATTCATGTCAATTTTGACATAAGGAGCTGCTGTTGCATAATCCCAGAAAGCAAGAGCTCCATGTTTGTGGAGACAGATGGTGATGGTGTTAACGTCCACTAAACCTCCAGTGATGTTGGAGGCCGCACAGAAACAACCAATCATAGGCCGGCCAGAAGACTTCCAGTGCTGTGGTTAGTAAATAGGAAAAAGGGTACTATTTAAAGAAGATATAAAAATTCTGAAATCCTGAAAGCACACAGGATGTCATCAACTTCACAGCTAATTGTTCATTAGAAATTTTAACTCATTGTGTATGGAAAGTTTTTACCTGTAATTTACTCTCAAGGTCAGAAATGCTTATGTTTCCACTACCATCCTCTTTAATTCTAACAATCTGAAGGGTTCAAAATTTGTATAAAGCAGATAATTTCTGTTACAATATTTAGAAATATATTTTTTTTTCTTGTACAGCTAAGATACATTTAAATTTTAACCAAGATATACATGTAGTACAATTACTCACAACTGCATTTATGTTTATCCATGGCAGGAAGCTGGAGTGGTGTTCATAAGGTCCCACAAATACAACCTATAAAAAATTTTTTTTACTGAAAGTGAATGCATTTTTAAACAAGAGGCCCAAGGGCCTTAATGGTCAAATGAGTACAATACAACAATTTAGAGCATCCATAAACTGATAAATGAAGCTTTGTTGCCCAAAACTAAGAAAAATAGTATGATTAGCATCAATAAAATAATTGGTCTAATATCTACCAGTCCCCCATTTATCACTATTACCATGCAGACTATTAACAAAATTTTCAAAATTCTATTTTTTAACCCCATATTATTACTTCTCACATTGGCCTCTCTTGGGCTTTGGTGAACATTTAAAAAGATAAGTTATTTTTGTCTCATTTTTATTCATCAATTATTTCCAAGTCTACCTGATCATTAAAACTAGGAAACTACTTTTTGTATTATACAATAAATATTCTTGCATAATTCTTGTATTCTAGTAACCTTTCAAATACATTGTTTACAGTGTTTCATTATCAAAGGTGAATGGTAAAGGGGAATAACTTTGCTCAGCAGAATACAAGTTAATAGAGCCTGGGCCAGGACCAGAACACTTGACTAAATGGTCCAGGGGTTCAAAATTCTGGTAAAAATACCTTTGCATATTAAAACTTTTACTCTGTTTGCCACGAATATGCCCAGAAGCATAGAAGATTTTCAAAGAAATGCATTTTCACTATATTATTAAACTAGAACTGTCCAAAAGGGACAAATACCCCCCCGCTGGGTTTTTCAGAGAAAGTACCAAATCACTAATGTTTTCTAGATGTGAGAGGTGTTCACAATTTCCTTAAACATTTACAGTGAAAATTTAATTACTCATTATATATTTTTATACGTCCGTCTTACGACGGGACGTATTATGTTATAGCGTTCATGTTTGTCCGTCCGTTAGCTTTTTCATGTCCGGCTCATAACTTTAATACTATTAGGCCTAGAATTATCAAACTTTGTCAGCTGATACATCTAGGGTAGAAGGTGTGTCGCACATTAAAACCAGGTTGCTCTGACCTTTAATAAAGACGCTATGGCCAGATATGGAAAAATCATAACTAGAAAACCATTAGACTTAGAATCAAAAAACTATGTCTTTTAACTTTTAAATTACACAGTCCCAAAAGATGTCAGAGTATTGCAGTATCTTTATTAAAAAAGTGTTAAATCAAGAAAATACTAGTCTTATTTTTTTTCACTATGTTCTTTACAGCAATCTGTAACAACAAAAATTCCACCTCTCCCATGAGTGTAATGATCAGGCACTGGTCAAGGAAAATTTTGATAGCAGAAAATTGCATGTCAAATTAGAGAGAAATTACTGTATAGGGGATTAATTTCACGGGTTGTAATTTTCACGGTTTTCTCTCCTCTGACACGATCGCGGTTTGTTGAATTCGCGGAATTGGTATCTAATAAAAGTTACCTCCCTTGTCTATATCCGTTTAATTTATATCATAGCTAGAGCGGTATTAGTCATCGTCATGTATTCACTTCAGGAACAACAGGGTAGGTTTATATAAAATAGTTAGATTTAATAATTACTTGAAGATTAATTAAAACAAGTGCAGTTATTAAAAGTCCTTGACTATAAACGTCGAATGACTTTCCTATATGCTATTACGATGAGTGCATGCACCCCTCAAGGTCTTCTTTCCAAAGAGATAATACATCGCGGCGAAAAACCACTGAACGGTAATAAATGTATTAATGTATGTCGACGAAATAATATCCTTCCACATCCTTGCACATCTTCGAAAGTTATTTGAATGATTTTTTTTAAACCAAATTGTTGATAAAAACTATTACGCATAATAATGCAGGTAACACATTAGTTACGCACGGGTAATCAAAACCCATGACCCACGTGTTTGGATTGATGAAACATGTAGCGTTGCCTGTAAAAACAGCTTTTTAACAAACACATGTTATTATCTGCTGATTTGAATTAAAGTAAAGCGTGATAATTAAAATAACCGAATGACAAGTACTACTCGTAATTACTGAAATGACCTTATACTGCACGTAAATATACCTATCGTAGTCTATTCCCAAATTTCCAAATAAAACATGGAGGTTATTGAAAACTTATTCACTGTTTCTTGAATTCACGGATTTATTAACACCGTGAATATAGCGAATATTAACACCGCGAGTTATTTTCCCCCTGTACAGTAATGAGTTTAGTGTGAGGAGATAACTGGTAGAGCATCTCTGATCAAGCAGGTGTTATCTACATCTCTTGGGAATTGGGCAAAAGGAATCAGTCTCTTAATTAATTGCTTATGTTGTATTGAATTGTTCTTGTTGGCTAGTCTTACTTTCAAGATAAATTTGATGTAATTAAAACTAATTTGATACTGTATATAATAATTAAAAGTTATATGATATTGTATAATATAATTTAAACTAATTATTTATTGTACATTTTTTATTTGAATTTTTATATCTTTACAACAAATTGCAGACTGCCTTGTCTTGCTAAGATGTCATTCAAACAATTGAATCTAAACTGTTTATGATAATTTAACAATATTTGATGGGTGTATCATGCTGTGGTGGGGCACTTTATTTAATGAATGAAACTAAGGTGCAGCCTAATAAAACATCAACACTAATAATTACAGTGTTTTTTATTACATTGAAAAAATAGTTTGCAACTATCTGCCATCTTTGTGAGACATGACACTCTGCAAATTGATTGTTGGAAAAAAGAATATCATAATTAATTATAGAAAATCAAATTGATTTTAATACCTTTATATCAAACTCATTTTAAAAATAAAAGGCTGGTTTTAGTAACTATGTATTTTGACAGGCATAAATTACAATTAAGAGACTTAGACAACAGAGATCTTTATTTCTTTCTGCCCAATTCCCCTGAGATATAGATAAGACCTGCTTGATCAGAGATGCCCTAACAGCTTCCCACACTGAACTCATTAATTAATCTTTAACTGGATGCATGTCCACTCATTACTCCCAAGGGACAAATGGATTTACACTATCTGCTGTGTAATGTAAATACTGTTTTTAATACTTTGTGGGTTTTTTTTAGTTCTAATGAGTAGTTTTAAGCTGTAGTTCACATTTTTGTACAGATGTTCTAGATTCTATGTCTCAAACCTTAGACATGAACCCGAAATGACTAAGTCAATAAATTAAATTAAAAAAAAACACCTGTAAAATGCAGAAAAATTATCAAATAATGTTGAAAATACCAGGTGCACATCTTCATATGGTAAATAATAAGTGTACAAATTTTCATACAAATCTATGCAATAGTCTCTGGGAACAGATCCAGACAAAACCACATAATAAAAATGAAAAAAACACCTGTAAAATGCAAAATAATTATCCAATCATAATGACAATACCAGGTGCACACCTTCATATGGTGAATAATAAGTGTACAAATTTTCAGACAAATCCTTCCAACAGTTTCCAAGAAATGGTCTGGACAAAATCTCGTCTACAGACAGATGGACAGACAGACGGACATGCTGATTCCAATATACCCCCCCCTAAACTTCGTTTGCGGGGGGTATAATAAATAAAGCTCCACCCTTACACCAGAACATCTGACCCAGGGGCCATGAACTCACAATTCTGGAAGAAGCACCCTTGCTCATCATAACTATACACTTGTTTCTTTGTTTATAACCAGTAGTAGAAAAAAAATTTTGAAAGAAATTATGCATTTTCACTATATAATCAATAGAGCCCCACCCTAACACCAGAACCCCTGACCCAGGGGCCATGAAATTCACAATTTCTGAAAAGGCAGCCATGGTCACCATAACTATGTTCTTAGTTTGTTTATTTAATATCCAGGAGCAAAGAAGATTTTTAGAGAATTAATGTATTTTCACTATACAATCTATAGAGCCCTGCCCTAACACCAGAACCCCTGACCCTGGGGCCATGAAATTCACAATTTTGGAAGAGGCCCTCTTGCTCATCATAACTATGTACTGAGTTACTTTATTTAATACCCAGGAGCAGAGAAGAAGATTTTCAAAGAATTAATGCATTTTCACTATATAATCAATACAGCCTTACCCTAACACCTGAACCCCTGACCCTGGGGCCATGAATTCACAATTTTGGAAGAGGCCCTCTTGCTCATCATAACTATGTACTGAGTTACTTTATTTAATACCCAGGAGCAGAGAAGAAGATTTTCAAAGAATTAATGCATTTTCACTATATAATCAATACAGCCCCACCCTAACACCAGAACCCCTGACCCTGGGGCCATGAATTTCACAATTTTGGTAGAGGGCTCAATGCTTATTACAATCATGCCAACAGTTTGACTGCTTGATGTCCAGGAGTAAAGAAGAAGATTTTTAAAGATTGCATTAATTTTGGTGGTTTTAGCCCCACCCCTCAGGCCCCAGGTGGACAGGGACCATGAAATTCAAAATTTTTGTTCCCCTTCACCCATAGATGCTATATGCCAAATTTGGTTGAAATTGGTTGAACAGTTTCAGAGAAGAAGCTAATAATGTTCAAATGTTAACGCACAATGCAAGCCGATGGAGGAAAATGGATAGCAATAGGTAACCTGAGTGACTCAGGTGACCTAATAAAAATTCAGAGAATAAGACTGATTTCTTTCAGTATAAAAATTGTTTTTTTTCTCACAGAAGATAATTTTAAACCTACAGGTGCCTGCTCCAAGTCAAGAGCATGAACAAGTTTATGAACCGCTGCAGTTGTTCCACTTCCACAGAAGATTACAGAGTCATGTTCACTAGCATGAACAGAGTTCCGAATAATATCCCTGCAGTACAAAAAAGAAAAAAAATCGAGTTTTGCAAAATTTTTAATATAGATGCAATATATATAAAAATCAATTTAGATGACTCAATTTCAGACTAAGAGAATTCAAAATCCAATTAATGCACATACATGTTATGTAAAGATGATAAATTAAGCAATGGGGATTGTTGCATTTCTGTTTATTATACATGTACCTTTGAGCATTGGAATTATTTTTGTTAAAATGGGGAAAACAGATTGATCATACTTAGTATCATTAATAGTGTTATGATTTAAGGAACAATATTCTGCATGGGTGTTAATCATGTTAATTTTATAAAATTTCTCCAAATGCAAATTTTGCAAATAGTCAAGTATTATCTAAACTTGAACATTTCTAGGTTTGCAGTAAACAAGCTTCATGTCTATATACTGAAGTCCATATTATCCATATTCAGTTCATGCTTGTTGTGTATCTATATATATCTACCTGGCTTCATGTCTGTATAGTGTTGTTTGTAGAGAAGTCAGACTTGTGGTTGTGTGTGTATTTCCATAATCTGGTAGAACTTCATTCTGAATGTAATCTTCAATAAACTTCAATGCCCTTAAAAATATTAAAATTATCCCTATCTTTCAGAAGACACAATCAATGGGGAAAAAATTAAAAATGAAGGCAAGAAAGGTAGAATGAATTTTATTTAAGTACTATTATTTGAAAAAATAAGTATATTTTACATTTCTCAGTCGAAGAATTCTCAAAGCACTGAATCAGCTGACTTAAATTTTCTGAATCTGTGTCCTATCATTATCAATATGTCTTACCTTCCAGAGGCAATGTAGTCCACATAAGTCACTAGAAATATCAAAGCAGTGAATTATCATACTGGCAAAAAAGTGTGTAAACATGACAATAATAACCTCTGATATTTATATTCAATTTATTTAGCAATTAGCTATGTGAGAATCAATTTTAGCATAGCAAGTATTACTGAGAAGTTGGAAGCAATTCTTTTTGATGAAATGAAGAAAACTTAGTCTAATAAAAAAAAAGCAATCCAGAACAATCAGGAGTCAGAAACCAATAGTTCTTAATTTATCATATACATGTGTAAATAACATTGTTTATATTAATATATGAAGTATGAAGCAATTCTATTCAACAGTATGAAGAACGTCAATATAAAACAGCAGTCTGCTGCTAAAAATGCCTGACCACCAGAAATACAATAGGTACAGTCCAAAGACTATTTCTACCTATGTAGCTACTTATAGCTACCTAAGGTATTTAAACCTACTCCAGGTAGTAGTTTTAGCTACTTTTTGCTTTATTTGCATTTTGTGGTCAAGCGCTGGAATGGCATAATATGGTGAGTACCAAATTTCTTAATACAGTCACACTGAATACGACAAAAATTTTGGCCAAGAAATGATTACTTTCTTACTTATCAATTTTACATCAAAACTGCATTCAGTTTCATTTGTGGTAGCTAAGGATCAAAATTAAGCCTAAAATTCTTACAAATCTGTATCAATTTTTAAATTTTAAAACTTACCTTAATGCATTCTTAGTTAAAATGTTTTGGGGATGAATTTTCATGTATTTCCTATCCATTCTCCACTCTCATAAAGTGTTCAAATTTACATCCTGAATTTTGCAGTGCAAGTGCACAAGATGATAAACAACAAGTTTATCTTAATCATCATTTTATTTTATTTTCAAACACAGGTAAAAGTAGGCAGAAGTAGCTACTTCAAGTAGGTTTAAATACCAGGGTGGCTATTAATAGTTACATAGGTAGAAATAGTCTTTAGACTGGACCTGTAAAGTCATCCTAAGACCAAGATTTGCATAATTTAAACCTAATATGTTGAGGGTGCGACTGTTAGGGCGAGGGCAGATACCTATTCAGCTTTAATTTAGAGCCGTCTCTTCAAACTACATGTGAAATTTGGTACATCTAGACTCTAACGTCAAATGACATCGTATGTAAGTTGCATTACCAAATCGAAGCCTGAGCAGTGCTAATTTAATGAAGAACATTTAATCTGCCTATTATTTATCTGCAATATATACTTTAAAGCAAAGTGAATTTATTTTTTGATGAACTTTTATTGTTACTGCGAGAACGTAGTTTGCAGCGAGATGCAATTCGCAAAAGATTGTGGGTCCAGAGGGTAACTGTGGAAAAAATCATTTGGATCAATGTGGAAGTCCGAATTTTCGGAACATACTAAAGACCTGACCTACTAAAGACCTGACTGACCTGACCAACAAAAAATTCTCCAAATATCAATATTCTGAGTTTTTGTATCAACTTTTTCATGATATTTTCTTAATCATAAGGTGTAATTCAATTGAATAAAGGTATATTCAATCATTTTTACCAAATTTATTGTCATTAATCAATTCATTTCATGAAAATTTAATGACCTGACCAAATTTGATATGACCTGACCAAATGATAATCATTCATAATTGTTATCTTTTTAAAAATATTTGATACATTTTCAAATTTGTTCTCTATTATAATGATAAATAGTTTAGATAAAATGTTTTTAGATGCATTTTTACCAAATATTTAGTCATTTATCCATTCATTTCATGAAAATTTAATGACCAGACCAAATTTGAAATGACCTGACCAAATGATAATCATTCATATTTGTTATCTTTTTAAAAAATATTTGATACTTTTTTCAAATTTGTTCTCTATTAAAATGATTCATACTTTAGACAAAATGTTTTAGAAACATTTTTACCAAATATTTAGTCTTTATTCATTCATTTCTTGATAATTTAATGACCTGACCAAATTTGAAATGACCTGACCTAATGATAATCATTATCTATCTTTTTAAAAATATTTGATACATTTTTAATTTATGTTCTCTATTATAATTATTAATACTTAGATAAAATGTTTTTAGAAATATTTATACCAAATATTTAGTCATTTATCTATTTATTTCATGCTAATTTATTGACGTGACCAAATATGGAATGACCTGACGAAATAATAATCATTCATAATTGTTATCTTTTTAAAAATTTTTGATACATCTCTAAAATATATTATTTATTATAATGATTAAAACTAAATTGAAATTTATTTTGCTACGAAAACTATGGATTCATCTCCGCATAACTATTGATGCCAATTTACATTACTAATTATTAGCAGTGCATGCATTCGTCATAAAACATCTATCTTCAAAAATAATTTCTGCATACAAGGATAAAAGTGATGATTATCCTCAGTCTTTATATTCACAAGACTTGATCTTCTTATAGGGTCTTAAACAATTAAGTTTAAATTTGATTAATTCGAATTTTAATCAGTAGTGTAGTAAGTAAGTAAGTAAGTAAGTAAATGGTTTATTATAGTGACATGTGTTATGTACAATTACAACAACTGTCAACAAATATACATATAATAGGAATTTAAACACCCGGCCCATCGGGCCTATATGTCACTTTTAACGATATAACATTCAATAAGAATACTGTGATATTACGCATTGCGTTTATTATAAATAATAGACTGTCTGTAAGTATAAGCTGAGTATATGAATTTTCCGATTTGTCTTGGGAAATTTACTAAAAGAAATTTGGTTTTGTCTAAATCTGACATATTTATATCAAATGAAGTTGGTTTAAATCCAATACTGGTAAAAAAGATTTCTCTAAAATTTGAATATGATGTACAATGAAGCAAAAAGTGGCATTCATCTTCTACACTATTTGAAGAACATAGAGTACAGAGTCTATCAGATAAAGCCTCCCCCTTATACCGTCCTGTTTCTATTCTAATAGGTAATACACCACACCTAAATTGAGCAAGTATAGAACGATGACACTTTGGAATATCCATTGTTACATATTTCTCAGTATGAAAATCAATCTTTACGGCTCGGTAGGTTCTAAGTTTTGGGACGTTTTGGAGTATGTACATGATATAATCCACTAGTTATACACAAGCTCCCTTGAAGGGATATAGGTAGGTAATTGTTGAACAAACAATGGGTGATCAGTGCCCCCTCTTGACACTTCTATCACAATAAATTAGCAGAGTAAGCGGATCAACAATTATCTTTTTCTCTTCGGCCAGACTTTTTTTTTGTTTTAAGCGCTCGCTATAAGTATAATCAGAGACATAAATAACAACCTGGTATAAAGGAAAAAAATTAAGTCATAATTATTACGGAATACGGACACAGATGAAATATTTTAAGTCTGACATGAAAAAAGAAACGTGAATTTACCTTTTCTCAATCCAAATGGGCCACTGAAAATTTTGTCTTTCCCTATTACATTCTTTCGAATATACTCTATTAGACATTCTTTTGAATGCTGATCATGTCCGATATGTTCTAAGGTTGTGTGCTCTTTTGGTAACGAGTAAAACTGACGATTTCTAGCATCGTGTGAATTCTTCTTCATGGTCGCCTCCATATTGTTTGTCATAGTCACAACAATGTTTGACCAACAATAAAATGGAAACGTGCAAAAATTATTTTCCCGATATACTTTTTTCTCTCGACCTTAAAATATATTTAAATATTTATTATTTTAAATATACTTAAAATTATTTAAGATAATTTCTTGAAAAAATCGTGAATATTGTGTTATTAAAATGTCTTTCATATTTTTCAATATATCTCAACCTGCTCTAATCACAGGAGTTCGCAATTTTATCAATTAAGTCAATAAAAATCACTCGATTGACCAAGCCATGAGATATGCGTTAGCATAGCGAATGCTAACGCATAGCTCATGGCTTGGTCAATCGAGTGATTTTTATTGACTTAATTGATAAAATTGCGAACTCCTGTGCTCTAATCCAATAATAATATAATAAATAATATAAAAATAATACGATAGAATTCCAATGAACTCAAAACTAATGTAGTTACCCTAAGTCAAGAAAATGAAAAACATATGTGCATGTGTATTACAAAGTTTAATTCCTCTAAGAGTCCAGGTATTGGAAAACAGGTGAAATTGCAATGTTTTTTATTTTCCCCAGAAAACAGGTGTGTAATATGCATGAGTACCTTCAGCAAAAAAAAAAAAGAAATAAGCAGTCACCCTTGATCCAAAAAAAAAAAAAATTAAACATGTTTTAAATTACCGTACTTGGGCTTTCAAAATAAACAAGAGGCCCATAGGCCACAACACTTGCCTGAGAAACTATGGCCCTGATGTTCTCCGATCATCAGTAGATTTTTTTTCCTATATATTCATACATGTAAAACTTTTAAAGTCTATTGTGGCCTCACCCTACTCTGAGGATCATGATTTGAACAAACTTGAACCTACACCACCTGAGAGAAATGATTTGTATAACCTTATTGTATGGAATTTGAGAAATTCAGAAAGCATGAGTTTTAATTTCTCACAACAATTTCATATCTAAAAAAATACTGGGCCAGATTTGTATTGAAGCCATTCCTTCTTATTTCTCTGTGCTCTGTCTCCCTATCCTTACATATATCTCACGACCATATTGAAATATGTATATGTGTTAATGTTTAGAAATTATGTATCAGATAAATAACAGTATAAAATTTTGTGGATTCATTTATGTAGCTGCATTGTCTTGTAAAAAGAGAAAAAGAGTAAACTATAATTTTAAAACATATTTTTATCTTGGTTATCAAATATACATCTCATGTCTGTACACAGAAATTATCTACATTTGTACAACATAGATGGAATATTCCACAGTGTTATGTACAATGTAAGAACAGGATGTCCGATGTAATATCACAAAATGGACAGTATCACATTTAACTTGACAGTAAAATAAGCATTGTCGGGACCACAACATATACATGTAAAGATATCAATTGATGCAATACTTTTCACATAGTTTTTTGTTACCCTTCACAATGATGAAATTTTCCTCAGCAAAACCAAACATGGAATACAAAATCTGGCTATACAGAGCACTTGATCTAAGTTTTCGTATCACTTGGAGGATACTAATTAAATTATCATTAACATCACTTGGAGGATACTAAAGTATCATTAACACTGGAAGAAGCAAAAATAGAGAAAATGCTATAATACATGCAATGAATTATGAAACTTCTTTCTAATTAGATTTACTTAAAAAAATGAATCATTAGATTACATGTATTTTGAATATAGAATTAATATAATAAGAAAAGAATAGAACAGATTAAATGTACAGACATTCCTTTATGCGAAATTTTATACTGGGAAAGAAAAACTTACTTTGAGGACTAAGCCACTTAAGTAAACCTGTTACCTTAGATTGGTTAAAAATCAGTAGTGAAAGTGGAAATAAGACTGACCCACATCGCTGTTACTGTGCCAGATACACCTGACACAACATTATCTTACAATAACTATCTACATAATGTATATACATGTATCTAAGGAGAAGGGCCAGATGCTTCCCTCAGGAATGACAAAAACACTTTGATAAAATCAACACATGATTAACACAAAGGATTTTAAATTCCCATAGACAAAGAAGCAGTTGGTGATGCAGCATTACAATCAAGCAGCTCACTTCAGGGATCGACTTATATTCACTTACATGTAAATGTTTTACAAGCTTTATGTAGTGTTTGTACTAATACTTGTACCTTTAACTTTAGCTACAACACCATTTCAAGTCTTAAGGTACCTAAATTATTTCATAGTTTAAATACTAACAAATTTCCAGTTCATACACCTCTTATCTGAAGGTACATCTGTTAAGTTACCTAACAGTCTCTATGTAGATTTGCAGCTTGTTCTTATTTCTGTATCAAGTAAATGTACACTTTAAAAATTCTTAGATACTGTATGTTAAATAAAATAATCTCTAAATACCATACTTAATTAATAGCACTGAATGTCCAGGAAAATTATGACAAATCTTTTTTACTTACTCATTTGAAATGATTACTTGTAGAACTGAACCTATGTCAAATGTAGCAACATTGAGGTCGAAGCAAAAATAATGAAACCTTTGTAAATACTTATTTCTTCATCTATTATTAAGGCTTGTTTACAGGTGTATTTCAAAAAGAAAAAAAATGCAGTAAACAATCCTCAAAAAAATGTTTTAATATAAATCAGTTCTTATTCAGAATAAAAGAATTATTTTAAGAATAAATGTACATGTATAAAACATTTGCATGGTAATGTGAGGAATGATTTAAAATAACATAATAAAACAGCTGTTAAATGCTATCATTGCACTATTAGAGTAAATTTCACCACCATCTAACTTTCCCATTCAGAAATTATCATCACATTGTCAATCAATCATTTACAATACCTGTGACTAATTTGAAACAATATCATGATAGCAAAGAGAAATAATGACGTTTTAAATTACTGTTAATACATGTATTTCTACATTCTCATCTTTGCATTCTCATTTAAATAAAAGGTCAATTAAAGCAATTATTAAATATCACACCATACACATTTAATATAGCATATCCTTTATGATGGAATACCATTCAAAACGCTGTGGTATACCCTTTCTGTTGGAATACCATTGATAACTGACTGTGAATACAACAATATCACACTTCAAAAAATGAACAAAATTTTTTGTAACAATGTGACCCGTTAAAGCACATCCACCAGACAGAAAAAGTCACAACAATAAATACCGCTGGTCACTTATTCACACATAACAAAATAATTTCTCTTGACAAAATCCTCCTTGTAGTTTACAAAGAATAAACAGCTGATTAACAGTGGAGCATGGCCTGGTGTGATCAGGTGCTACAGATATCAGTGCTGTCTACTCTCTTGACTGATAAAACAATATGTAGCCTGTCTCTGAATTCTTCTGCAAGTCTGATGGGATTCCATAGAAATCTTCTATTGTACTGGAATCTATTTTCTACAAAATTTAACCCATTTCTTTCAAAATCCAGTATACAGCAAAATGACCATTTTATAATAAAAATAAAATCAAAGCTAAATGAGTTTGCTGTGTTTGCAGGCAATATCACATTTAATAAATTCCTCTGTCAGGACATATGAAATCTTTTAAGCATGCATGAATGTATAGAGAACATAAAAACTAGACAAATAATGTTAAGAATCAAAGAAACTACAGAACATAAATTTTTCAGATCTTAAACAGAAATAAATACATACATCCACTATATCATCATCAAACAGCAACCAGAATCCGTCACTTTTGACGATACTGATATAATGACCACGATTGAGACTACTTCCTATGTGTATCACCACGGCAACAAGGTCATACATTCTGTCTGGATTACAGGCATCGTCAGACTGCAAAAACAAACTGAACAGTCAAAGATAAACCACAGGAATCTACATCTGTGAAAGCTTGTTTTAAATATATGAACTTAAAAATTCCAGCAACAAAAAAAAGAATGGTATTATAAATCTATTATAAATCTTAATTTACTGTATTGAACAGTCGAAGTTCAAGAGGAAAGACAACTCGGTAGGAGAGCTTCGTAAATCTATTCATCTGTTCCATATATTTAAATCTTTTTAAATGCAGGGCTAAAATCTGTGGAAGTTTCTTCACTCTCATTCTGTTGAAAAAACAAATTAATTAGATTGTGAATGTACAATTAGACCTGTATTCTTAATATTAAAATTTTAATTTATGTGCTCCCTCTACCCCTTCTTTACCAATAACCAAACCCTGAGATAAAGATTAAATCATGATAATTTGCAAAATGGCAGCCAAGCTCAGGTATTCCATTCAAGTAGTGTACATGTAAGTAGCATCAGTCTACAAACACTGTGCTCACCTTTTCTGTGCCTCATGCTTGCTACAGCACACTTCACAGTAATACTTGTGCTCACCTTTTCTGTGCCTCCTGCTTGCTACAGCACACTTTACAGTAATACTTGTGCTCAACTTTTCTGTGCGTCTTGTTTGCTACAGCACACTTCACAGTAATACTTGTGCTCACCTTTTTTGTGCCTCATGTTTGCTACAGCACATTTTACAGTAATGCTTGTGCTCACCTTTTCTGTGCCTCTTGCTTGCTACAGCACACTTCACAGTAATACTTGTGCTCAGCACTTAGAGTCTCCATGCTGCTGAAACCTCTCAGACAATGGGTTATACTGGTATTCTGTTCAACATCCACAGATAGATCCAAAAAATCCTCATCCTTACTGCTCACCTAAACATTAACAACACTTCTTATTAATGTACTGAGTTTTATAAATAATTGTTTAATACACATGTAGTAGAAACACATTTAAAAATCTCCATTTGTGTTGTAGTATACTGCGAAAATCTGATTTTAAAGATGGTATTATTCACTAAAATGATCATTGATCATAAACAAGCTTACTGTTTCACAATTGAGACACCGTGTTTCATTTGTAAATGTGCCCTGGAATAACTCTTCAACCCACGTTGGTTCAGTCTTACTCTGGTTTTCAGCCCCATTAGTTTTGCCTTTATTTCCTTGTTTTTCTGCTGAAAAATAGAAATAACCCAATGCAACAATGTTCAATACTTTAGAAATTCACTATTTTGTTGTCATTTTCTTTAAATAAATGTATCCTGATATCTTATGACAGATTTAATCATAATATGATCTTTTTTCATCCTCCATCATGATATTAAGGGGAAAAAAACTGAATCAATCACTTGCTTTGTCATGAAAAAAGCTAATCCAGAAGACTTTATGGACAGTTTATCCTTTGTATTTTGAATATCAAAATAGTAAATACCATGGATATGTTGAAGTGAGTTTGAAGTCCGAACCAGTTTTTTCATTATGTAATTTAATCTCAATAGCTCAAATTAGTGAGGCAAAAATCGGACCAAATTAACTATCCGTTATCAAATTGAATCAGTAGCATAAAATCTATTATTTGATCAATAGTTTGAACCTTGATTTAAAGGTTAAATTAAATTAAGTTAACCATGAAATATTCAGATATCCTCGTAAATGAAAACAATATTTCAATACAAATCTGTGGGACCAACTTCAATTTATGCTTAGTAGGAAAATTTGTCTGCCATTTGCAAGAGAAATAGAGGAACATCATTTGATAATGTTAAAAGATAAACCAGTTTGTATAAAAAATATTTTGAAAAAATGCAGCGACTATCGATTTTAAAATTTTCTATTTATTGTCGCTGATGTGCTGCCTTAAGCAATGATTTTTCAACAGTCAGCGACTATCGTAACAACACTAGCTCAAATCCTTGGATATCTCAAAAATTTTTATCCCCCAAAGTTTGAGTCACATGTAAAAAAAATTGCTATAAACTTCAAATCTCTTATTGTTTACAGAATGTGCACTAACCTTGAAGAAGCTCAGAGACTCTGTTTAACAAGTAGTTCAAAAACTCGTGAGCATCCTGCTGCATAAAGTTGTCAAAGAGCTCTGGGGAAAAAAAATGGCAAAGTACAAATTACAAAAATCGAACAAATATCATTAATATGTATTAACTGTATGATTTTATAATTTCATAATAAATATACATTTCTTAATCACTTTCTTCCAGGAATTCTGAATTAATTTTCAAAAACATGTATCTAGTACATGTATTACTATGGAATTAAACTCATTTACAACAAAAGAACCATAAGAAAAACCTTCAATATATACATGTACAATGTACTTTTGATAAAGCAAAGAAAATGTACTCATTATCCTCTCCAACAAAAAGATGTATCAAAGCACTTGGGGTATTAAAGCCTATTTATTACAGGAAAATAATATTTACTAAAGAAATAAAGGGGTTGAAATTTGAAATGTGAATAAAAATTTGCTTTATGCTTTGAAGTGGTACTTGGTTACACTTACTATTTTACAAGATGCTGTGAGAAAAAAATTGTACTGATACCTCTAAAAATGATTTTTTTTCTTCAATTTCACTTAATATTTTAAAGTCTGACCCCTTTTCCTCTTTACAGTACGTAAAAATTTTGTTAACAGATGGGTTATCCCAGACTAGTCTTTGATATAGGATGTTATGCACAATTATTATGTATTTATATGTTTTTTATTGTTTCTTGAAATTAAAATGTCAAAACGAAATTCAAAAAAATATCATCATCCATCATTTTCCAGCACTGTCACTTACCATACTCTTTTCTTAGTCGAGTGATGAACTTCTTTGGAGCAATTGTACCCACTTTTTTCTTCTGTGTAGCTATACTGTAAAAGAGATCTGCTAAGCAGGTCAGTAGAGATTCCTTTTTGTTATTTTTCTGGTGCTGTTTGAACTGAAGAACTCTCTCTCGGAATGGTCGGCAGAAATACAAGGCTTGTAGAACTGAGTTACAATAACAAGTGTTCCCAAACTAAAACCAAGAAACAAACATGAAACTGTGTCACCTCTTTTCATGTCTACATTAACATCTTCATTACAAAAATAATAATGGGTAAGATATTTGGACATAGATATCCTTTGTTTATAATACTACAAACTTTACCTGATTACTTATATCAGAGTATTATTTGTTAATGTGCTGGGCACTATCAGAGTACTGTGAAATCACTAATTTTCTTACATGTTCAATTTTTGTTGTTTTTAGTGGTATTGAAAGATTCCCAAATGTATGTCCCCCCACAAAATGTAAAATTTCATAAATATAACAATTTAACACTCCTTCATCCATGAAATTAAATTCCAACATACCTATTTTTTTCAAACCACTAAAATTTTACTTCATGAAAATAAGTGATTTTACAATATCCCAGTACTTACATTAACAAGCCCAAAATAATGTTCATTTGCAGGAAGTTGCTCTGAGCCTATCTCTTTTTCTAGTTGGGAAGCATTGTTACCCTGAAATATAAAATTGATCTGAATCGATATCTTATAATCTAGTCTACATGGTTCAAAAAATATCAGCAAATTCTAATCTAGTATTTCATAATCATCTCCACACATACATATATAAACACATTTTAGAATTAAATAACAAAACACTTTAAAATCAAAATAAACAATTACATGTTCCTGTTTTTATACATGTAGTATAAATCACATTTTATTCTCCAAAACTTTATTTTCCTTAATTTGAATGAGATCACTTCAACAATGAAATAAAGTTCTCAATATACCATGTGATAACTCTTATTGTATGAAAGTTATGTAAAATTCTCTCTTGTGAACGAATGCAGAAATTTTCAAACGCTATTTTTTTTTTATTTTCTCAGAATGCTTCAAGACTTGGAGACTGACTCAGTGTCTAAATGCCTGGATGGGTTTCATTTATTTGATCTGGGTTTTATCACTTTCTTCTAGACATGTGGAAGCAAAATTGGATTAAAGGTTTAAATATTGGATCAAATGATCTCAAAAATCATTTAAAAAGGCCTAGCTGATATAATAATGACTATAAATGTTCATAGAAGGTGAATGTTGACTTGATTGACATATTTTATATGTCAAGTACAGCTTCAATTAATATTATTGCCATTTATTGGTAATGTATAAATTGCATCAGCTGATTGACTGTTGGTATTATTCAAACTCAGATTTGCCTGAAAAAAATCCACCCAGTTGTAATTTGAAAAGTTCGTTCTAATATAACAGGTAACAGATTTATTTTTGTCTACCCCATATATTTGGAAGGTGTGGGGATTTTGGTGATTAGGAATCAATGTATCGAGAAAGTATTGTGCAAGGAATGTGGTAGGTGTAAATAGAATTTACATATCATATTATTAAATTGATATTGTCCTACTAAATCCTATTTAGCAAAGCAAAATAAACAGGGACAGGTAATTCTAACATATGCATATACTATAAACAATTCAGAAATTTCTGAATGTCATCATGGTGTGTAAATCTGAAGTGAAGAAAACATGTTGAGAAAATGTTTTTTTTTTTTTTTTACATGAATTATTTTGGAGAGTGAAGACAAAGATATCTCAAAAGGTTTGTTATGTTTAATTTGGTAGTTATTTTCAGTGCATCCTTTTTTGTATTCTCCAAATTCTTGCTGGAATGGATCCACACAATAGATGTCATATATATTGTAAAGCACGAGTCAAGTACCTGTGTAAATCACTATTTTTAAAAAGTGAATGTCACCAGAGAATACATTTACAAATTAACATCATGCTTTACACCACATACGGAAGTATAATCTTAACACTTGATCATTTGGACTTAATGCGGTTTCATTTCATAGCATTTTTCGCACAAAGCAGCCACACAATTAATTCATGTCAATTTTTCTTCAAATGTTTACATACGCAATATATGAATGATATTCATCTGTAAATACAATATGAAGCATATTATATAGCACTGACAACTACTGGAAATACTTGAACCTTATTAAACTATATATAAAAACTACTTACCATCTCGATCTAGTTGAATAAATATTATTTCAAAATCTTATTTTCATCTCGACCGTACTATGTCCTCCATGTTGAATGCACGTAACTGCTAGAATGCATTCGGACGGTTGTGAAATATCCGGATCGGCAACAACAATATCCAATATCAGTCGGGGGTAAGGGGGGGGGGGGTATATTGAAATATAGCCTAAAATGCATCCCCACATTTTTGAAGCAGTAATAGAGGATTACTTATACCCCCTTCGGAATTTTAAAAAAAAATCATGCCAAAATAAGAAATGAATCTCGTCCGTCGGATTTCGACAATGGTATAAATATTTAAATCCACTGAGTATTATTTCCATTTTCTTTGTTTCTTATGAAAACCATAGCCGCTTATCAGTCAGTAAACGACACTAAGCAAGAGTCTTGGCTGTTCCATCTATTATGCATACAATGACATACATTGTACGCATCTATAATACAATGTTTAAAGTTAACATATTTAATATTTTACTTCGAATGTTTTTTTTTTTTATACATATATAAATACAAACAATAAAATGACTTTATTTGTTTCTTAGTAAGAATTAACGTTGCGGCTATTGCAGAAAAAATTTACATAACCCGCTTGCTAACGCTGGTTATATATTTTTTCTGCAACAGCTGTGACATTAATTTCCGCGTACTACCAAAGAAAGCATTTTATTTTTTAAATAAAATAAACTCAATATTAGTGTAACTTACGCTTATCATATATATATATATATATATATATATATATATATATATATATATATATATATATATATATATATATATATATATATATATATATATATATATATATATATTGGTGCAAGTTAATAAACGGCAGAAGCTTTAGGCATGGATTCTATATAAGTTCTTCAAACCTGCAACTCGTAATATTAAGAACAATGGGAGCACCTGCGATGGAACTTCTTTCCTCGATGATTAAAATGACCTTTGACCTTGGTCCAAGGTCATTGTAAACAGAGGGAAATGCTGAAGGTGACTTTTGACCTTAAGTTACAAGAAACCTTTCCTAATTATATTATCTATCGACCTTACTTACTTTTTCCAACCTTTCCCCGGCCCCCTTTCTTGAGCATCGCTATAGAGAAATAAAAAAAATGTTAAACGAGAGCATTAATAAAAATCTCGGATCTGGACCGCGCAGCTGAGCCTGTGTTGACGGGCCCGTAGGAGGCAATTTCAGTTAGGGGAGGGCACTTAACCAAAAATTCGTTGACAAAAAAAGGGGGGGCATTAGACGTTAATATTATTGAGGGGGCACAAGCATATAGTGGTTATGTATTCTATAGTGTCCTTTCTGATATACTTTATTTTTATTTGTCAAAATAAAGTATATCAGAAAGGATAATAGTATTATATTTATTCCCCCGTGCCCCGGTTATTACGGCCATGGGTTGGTATCTTCTGAGATTACCTTTCTTCTCGATCCCCTATGTGTTGAAGCCCCCCCCCCCCAACCCAATACACATCACTCCAGCCTTAGCTTAATGTTTCATATCATACAGGCAAAACAAAGCATGAGTAAAAGTGCACTATCGATTGTATGGTACATTTGCTTTAACCCTAATTAAGATAATATTCTTAAATATTTATCTCGTATTATTTTAAGTAGGGAATGTACATGTAATTGTGGTATTATCAGCATTTTCAGCTCACGAATATAACTTCAGAATTAGCAAATAATAACAAACAAACATAACAAAAAACAAACATATTTCTATAGAAAGAAATGAACAATTAACTGTGTCAGCCGTCAACTTGATACTCGTTGTCAACAACTGCATCGTCGACATCATGTAAATTGACCACGATGCATCTAAATTGTGCATGTACCGCAATCAGTTGATGCTTTTTGCAACTCTCTGCGATTTTCTCTTTCATTGTAGTGGTTTTATGGATTTACGGGGCACTATATACCGCGGTAGTTATCTCCTTTCTTCTCATGCATTGTAGTACCAGTCAAGCCCTTAATTATAATGAAATAATGAATCGTTCACTGAGTGGACAATTAATTTAATCAAATATTAATTTAAAAAAAAAAAAGATCCTTCAAGTATCATGTGTTAAGTTAAGAAGGGGAGAAATGTTTGAAATAAGACCATCAACTATAAATACCACCTATGATAAATACCTGATTTAAGGACGCTGTTTAATAAAGAGTTCTAATTCAACGAGAGTTTTATGCAGTTAGAGTAATCTGCTCTTTAACCTACAAAGAATCTTAAAAAGTTTAACGTACTTAACATTAAAAACATTATTTGCATGTATTTTCACAGACGTAAGTAAACAAAAGAAATATTTCTGTTAACAATACATGTACTTCATTGTCTTTGAACACTTTTCCTGGAGAAATGTATCAAGTATCCTTTGTTAAAATAACTCACATAAACTCATTTTGTACACCTTTTTACATGATAACATTTTATCAAATTTTTCATTGGTTGTTTAGAGCTTACTTAAAGGAAACATATAGGAACAAACTAATCAAATTTCCACACATGCGCTGTGAAGCTTTCTTTTCATTTCCGGTCAGCCATTAGTTAGGTCTGTGCATTTACACGTGCTGAATAAAATTCACTTAATTCTGACGTTTTTACCAATTATTCTGTTTTTGCTTACGTTTTTATTCCTTAAGTTTTTATTGGACTGTACAATCTGATATACCTTGTCATCATTAGCTTGCTAATACATTGAAAATTGGCATTGCACGTAACATTACCTGTCACTTTTAACTGAAACAGGCCCAGCACAATTTCTAGATTTAGCTATACAGCTTGAAATAGCTATATAGCTCTAATGAGCTATTGGAGATAGCTTGATAAAGCTATTTATATGCATTTTTCAGAAAAATGTATTTTTGTAAGGAACAAAAAGTCGCAAGTATTTGACTATTCACATATATGTACTATATCAAATAACAATTCATATCAAAGATATTTCTAACACTGCAGCTTTTGAATACTTTTAAGCAAAAGATTTTCCATTGTTTGAGTAACTGTCCACTACCTTGTGTGCATTGAGGCGTGGATAAGTATGATTGCTTCTCATTGTGCTGAATTATTACCAATCAATTATCTTGTTGACCATAACTGATCTCATTTATAATTTCATTAAAGAAGTAACTGTATGGTCAAGATCAGTTGCTTTATATAGCCTCAAAACTTTTAGAACTTTTGAGTACAAAGTCTCTCAAGAAGACATAATTTAGTGAGTGATTTTTACATGCATTGTTTTCACAAGAGTTCAAGATATACCAAGGTGTGACTTTTTGTACATGCTGAAAAAATAACAAATTAAAGAAAAAAATGTAAAAAATAGCTAAATCAAGCTATTCTGAATAGCTTAATAAAGCTATGTAGCTAAATCAAGCTATATAGCTAAATCAAGAGATTGTGCCGGACCTGTGTAATGGTTTAGACCTAGATAGAACGTTCTATCGTTAAAATAATATTGTCCTACGGACATGGTTGAACAAACTGTGATGAGGACTTGTCCCAAGACAGATTATTCTAGGCTAACTAGTTTAGACTGTGGATAGCCTAGTTGGTAGAGCACCTGACTAGGGTTGCAGGAGTCCTGGGTTTTGATTCCTGGTCAAGCCATAAATTTTCTCCTTTCCTGTAACATAATTTGTTTTAAAAAAAAAATTTCCAACTTAACCACACATGCAAAAAAGACATTTGGCATGCTCTAAAAAAGTTGGTGGCCGATGACCAACAATAAACCGATAACTGGTGTGCTTTTTTTTTATTTTGGGGAGGAGAGGTTTAATTTAAATTTTGACTTTTAAATAATTTTATTTTTTACCAACCTGATTTGGGGGGGGGGGGGGAGTCTTGAAAAACAACTAATAAAAAAAGTGGTCCAACTGCCCAAGGAAAAAAGTGCCATATTGATCAAAAATAATTTTGATCTCCAATCAAAAAAGGTGTCCATATAAAAGAAAAAATCAACACATTTCATTTTGCTAATTTCATCAGGATTTTGATCTCACTTCAAATTCATCTGACGTTAATGTTCTGATTTCTGCAGAGTTTATACACAATACAATGCGGGGAACATATGATATGTAGAGTAAAATATAACTTGAGAAGTAATTGGAATATGTTAATGGTTTCTACTGATGGCTGTAGAAAGAAATCATTTATTGAAAGATGAAAAAAAAATTGTCAAAGGATGGAAACAATGTTGAGATTTTCATTTTTCCGAGGGTGATGTAATATTGTATTTATCTGTAGGCACAATGACGAACACAAAAGGATACAGACGTGGAACACGTTATATGTTCTCCAGACCATTTAAAAAGCATGGAGTCATCCCACTGTCTACCTACATGGTCAACTACAAACGAGGGGACATCGTAGATGTTAAGGTGAAGAACTAAATTTAATGCCAAGTAAATCTACATGGTGCTTATTTACTCCTAGCAAATGGTTTGGCAATTATTAAAACTTCATTATCAGAGAGGCCATTTTTGGAGTAAATTGACTAATAAATACTGAACATATGGACATTCTAAAGATAGGTTTAGGTAAACTTTATTGAATAAATTTGAAGTATTTTCTGGAGATATTCATGAAATAAAACAACAAAGTCACACATTTAGGGTCATGGAGCTGTACAAAAGGGCATGCCTCACAAGTTTTACCATGGCAAGACTGGACGAATTTTTAATGTAACCAAACATGCTGTTGGAGTTATCATTAATAAGAGAGTGAGGTAATGTTATCAATTGAATTTTCTCAATTTCTGAATTTAACATACTCTCACTGAAATACATATATTTCATACTATAAAAATTGTGGCTTTTATAAATGTGACTTAACTTTCCTATTTCAGGGAGAGAATTATCCCCAAAAGAATCAATGTGAGAATTGAGCATGTGAAGCACTCCAACTGCAGACTGGAATTCTTGAAACGAGTTGCCAACAATGAGGAACTGAAGAAACAGGCCAAGGAAGGAGGCGAGAGGAAAAACCTTAAAAGATTTGTTAGTTATTCCCCTTGATCATGATATTCTAAAATAAAGTCAATGATGAACTCTCTTTATGCTGTTCACATTCTGAATTATTGTGGAGATATTTTATTCTGAGACTCTTAAGCTGTAATAACAAGGTTTATTTTGATTACTTGCGCATTGAATCTCATTTTGTAATGTTTTGTTTGGGGTTTTTTTTTCAGCCTGAGAAGCCTAGGAAGAAGCACTTTGTCAGCACAAAGTTCAACAAACCTGAGGTTTTGGAGCCTATACCTTATGAATTCATTGCATAAATTAAAGTGTTGACAAGACATTTTAGTTTTTGTTCTATTTATGTATTTGAGATATACTGATAAACATGGAGAATAACAAGTTATATAAGTCTCTTTCTTTTCCTCCCCCTTTCCTATTAAAGCACTGCTTTTCTTATTGTTAAATTCATGCTCAATAATTAAACACTGCCCCATTATGTTGGCATTTAGAATAACTTGAACCAATTTAAACTGCAGTAGATTTAATATATTTATATTTGATAATTGAAATGTTACTTTAAAAGCAGAAAATTTTGTTGAGAATTAGATTTTGTTGATAACATGTAACAATGAAATTAAATCCTAATGAAATTTTAACCAGAACTAATGCAGTCAATTGAGGTCACAAATACCCCCCCCCCCCCCCCCCCGAAAAAAAATCTGCTCAATATTTTAGGTATGAGTGTGGCAAGAGCTACTGCTCAAAAAATGTCCTTCCTCATGTCTGTCATACAACAGGGAATGAGTCTTTCTAGTAATTTATTTACATGTACAATTTTTCAAGGAAACAATCTTGTAGGAGGTGGAGGTTTATAAGTGACAAATATGCTGACTCAGACAGGTAACAGATAATTGGCAGTATCACTGTTAAAATTTTAAAGTGGAATTTATCGAATGTGATGCATTTGCTGCTATTACTTCTTTTCATTGGGAGTTATTTTGAATTTTATCTACATGCATATGAACCTATTTCCAAGAATTCGTTCATTAAGGATAGATGATACAAACAATTTTTAGCTTTACTGGTCAGAGACCAGAAGAGCTTATGCGATAGTAAGGTGTCCGTCGTCCGTCCGTCTGTCTGTCTGTCCGTAAACAATTTTTCAAAACGCTACTCCTCCTACAGTTTTGGTCTGATTTCAATATAACTTTGCACACAAGTAGACTACACTAAGATACATTATTTAGTGCATGGGTTTTTGATTTCGATGGACGGTGTTGCCATGGTTACTAAAAATAGAAATTTCTGTGAAATTACTTTAAAACGCTACTCCTCCTTACAGTTTTGGTCCGATTTCAATATAACTTGGCACACAAGTAGACTACACTAAGATACATAATGTAGTGCATGGGTTTTTGATTTTGATGGACGGTGTTGCCATGGTTACTAAAAATAGAAATTTCTGTGAAATTACTTTAAAATGCTACTCCTCCTTACAGTTTTGGTCCGATTTCAATATAACTTGGCACACAAGTAGACTACACTAAGATACATAATGTAGTGCATGGGTTTTTGATTTTGATGGATGGTGTTGCCATGGTTACTAAAAATAGAAATTTCTGTGAAATTCCTTTAAAACGCTACTCCTTCTACAGTTTTGGTCCTATTTCAATATAACTTGGCACACAAGTAGTCTACACTAAGATACATAATTTAATGCATCCATTTTTGATTTTGATAAACGGTGTTGCCATGGTACTAAAAATAGATATTTCTGTGAAATTACTTTAAAAATGCTACTCCTGCTACAGTTTTAATCTGCTTTTAATATAATTCGGCATACAAGAAGACTATACTAAGATACATAATTTAATGCATCGGTTTTTGAATTTGATGAACAGTGTTGCCATGGTTACTAAAAATATAAATTTTTGTGAAATTCCCATAAAACGTTACTCCTCCTACAGTTTTGGTCTGATTTCAATCTAATTTGGCACACAATTAGAATACACTATGATACATAATATGTATTTCCATTTTTTTTATTTTGGTAAATGGTGTTGTCATGGTTACTAAAAATAGAAATTTCTGTGAAATACTTTCAAAACGCTACTCCTCCTACAGTTTTCATTTGATTTCAATATAACTTGGCACAGAAGTAGACTACATTAAGATACATAATTATGTTCCCCAAACCAAGTTTGGGAACATACTGTTTTTACTCTGTTTCTTCTTCTTCTTCTTCTTTTTTAGCTCACCTGAGCCAAAGGCTCAAGTGAGCTTTTCTGATCAAAATTTGTCCGTTGTCTGTCATCGTTGTTGTCATTGTTCTCATTGTTGTCATTGTCGTTGTAAACTTTTCACATTTTCATCTTCTTCTCAAGAACCACAGGGCCAATTTCAACCAAACTTGCCACAAAGTATCCTTGGGTAAAGGGGATTCAAGTTTGTTCAAATGAAGGGCTACGCCTTCTTCCAAGGGGAGATAATTAAGAATTCGTGAAAAATTAATGGCATCATTAAAAAATCTTCTTCTCAAGAACCACTGTGCTTGAAAATATGAAACTTATGTGGAAGCATCCTCAGGTAGTGTAGATTCAAGTTTGGCAAAATTCAGTTGTTCAAATCATGACCCCTGGGGGTCAGGTGGGGCCACAATGGGCGATGAAAGTTTTACATAGGAATATATAGGAAAAATCTTTAAAAATCTTCTTCTCAAGAACAGCAAAGCCATGATTGGTCATATTTATATGGTAGCATCTTCAGGTAGTGTAGATTCAAATTTGTTCAAATCATGACCCCCGGGGGTCGGGTGGGGCCACAATGGGCGATCAAAGTTTTACATAGGAATATATAGGAAAAATCTTTAAAAATCTTCTTCTCAAGAACAGCAAAGCCATGATTGGTCATATTTACATGGAAGCATCCACAGGTAGTGTAGATTCAAGTTTGTTCAAATCATGACCCCCGGGGGTCGGGTTGGGCCACAATGGGCGATCAAAGTTTTACATAGGAATACATAGGTTAAATCTTTAAAAATCTTCTACTCAAGAACATCAAAGCCATGATTGGTCATATTTAAATGGAAGCATCCTCAGATGATGTAGATTCAAATTTGTTCAATTCATGACCCCCCCCCCCCCCCAAACCACTTTTTTATTTAAACTTTTCAACCTTTCAAGACTGAACTGATTTCTGCTTTTTCCTAGCCATAGTGCTCAGATGAGCGATGTGGCCCCTGTGCCTCTTGTTATTCTTATTTCTTCTCCGGTACTTTTTTGTCCACGAGTGTTCTCAGAAACCTACTCATCCGATTAAGGTGAAACCTTTTTAGGGTTACTAGGCATGTTATATAGATTTGCGGAATGTGCAATGCGTAAAATGACCAATATACTTGATACAGCAGTAACTTTTATATTTTTGGATGAAATGCTCTGATACTCAGAATATAATGATATATTAAAAGTGTAAACAAGATGACATGGTCAACATGCACATGCATGCACGTGCGCACACACGCAAAGCGTAAAATGAACAATATACTTGATATAGTCGTAACTTCTATACTTTTTGATGAAATGCTTTGATACTCAAAATATTTATATATTTTAGAAGTGTAGATAAGACGACTTGGTCATCATGCACATGCATGCATATGCATGCACGTGGCGTGCGTCACGGTGCATGCAATATGTTAAATGACCAAAATACGTAATATAGCCGTAATTTTTATATTTTTTTATGAAAAGCTTTGATATTAAGAATATACAGATATATTAAAAGTGTAGACAAGATGATGTGGACATCATGCACATGAATGCACATGCGCGCGCGTGCAATGTGTTAAATGACCAGTATACTTAATATAGCCGTAACTTTTATATTTTTTATGAAAGGCTTTGATACTAAGAATAAACAGACAAATTATAAGTGTAGACAAGATGGCATGGTCATTATGAACAGGCATGCAGGTGCGCGTGCGTGCAATGCTAAGATGACCAATATACTTGATATAGCCGGAACTTATATATTTTTGACAAAATGTTTTGATACTGAGAATATAAAGATGCAATAATAGTATAGACGGGATGACATGGTCATCCTGCATATGCTTGCAGGTGCGCGCGCGTGAAATGCAAAAAACGACCAATATACTTCATTGCCTTATTTAATGAAGCTTACAGGAAATAAGACCCCAAAGGGGGGTTGGGGAGCATTTGGGAAACATCTGTAACGGTCCCCATTACAATTATAACTAGTTCTATTTATTGTTGCATGTTGCAAAGTTTCAAATCCAAGTGCTACTTTTCTTTTGTTATACATGCAGACCAGTAGAGCTACAGTCTCATCAGAGACTTCTGGTTTTCTTTGGAGGAGACTTAATATCATGTCACAGTTTTAGAAAAGTGGATAATTCTTTGAATATTTCTCCTTAGACTTGGAGAATGAAATACCTTCCATATTTCCCCCAAAAAGTACACAACTAGAGTAATCATGGTAAAGTTGTTTAAAAATCATTCATTTACCCTCTTTTTTTCTTCAAAAATGTTTCTAAAGGAGCACAGAGTGAATTCAGATATTACATTTACTCCATAACCTGTTGTATTTTCCTGCATAAAAGAAATGACACTTGGAAAATATTAGTTGATACTTCAATAAAATTACAAATATGGACAAATCCCATTCAGTAAAAGTTTACAGATGAAAATAAATTTCAGAATATGTTAGCTTGGTGCTAAAAGTGTAATATAAACTTTAAAAAAATATACCAAGCGAGGTGAATTTTATGAGGAAAAGCAAAATGGTAAAAATCAGCACATAGGCTAATTTTTACCATTTTGCTTTTCATACCACTCCAAAAAAAAATTTGTATCATCTGTCTTTAAACTGAACACACAGGTCAGCATTAATGGATAAAGGCAAATGCGAAGGAGGAGTGATACAAGTGGTACATATATATTATTATAACAGTAACTTGATCCGAAGAGTCGTATCACGTCAAGTTGACAGGCGCGGATCATCAGATCAAACGAGACGCGAAGCGTCGAGTTTGATCTGATGATCCGCGCCTGTCAACGAGACGTGATACGGCTCTTCGGATCAAGTTACTGTTATAATGATAAATTTATTATATACCCCCTTTACAACTAGCAAAATATAATAAAAGAAAACTTTTTGGATCAATTGCATAACTTTTAAACATCATAAACAAACCATTTTGTCAAGGAACTTTTTGATGCGCGAGAATAAAAACGTCATTTATCTGTGTACTACGTCATCAGTTTCAGAGAGGGGTGATATGGATTCAGAAAACCACAGTGTGGTGAGGGAAGGTATAAT